TTATAGAGACAAACTGGCACTAAGTGGGTGATGTGGCCAACCGACCGCCTTTACTTCCCATGATAATTCCGTACCCATTTAAGGCTAGGTCGAAATGAGAGCCAAGATTATTTTAAAAAGACAAGTCCCACACCTGAACCCATGATCTTCAGATCCACAGGCAAGCATCTAGGCGCTGCGCCATGGCGACTGTCAGCTCTTATGTAACAAGTGTGTTCAATGTTTGTCTTCCAGCACACGTCACCTACACCAGCCTGCCATCAAAGATCGACAAGTTCCCTGAAGAGTTCAACGTGACACTCAAGGAGGAGTCCGGCCAAACCATCGACCTGCATCTCATACTGACCAAACACATCGCGCCCAACGTGCCCGTCTATACCTTGAGCGTGGACAATGAGGGTGCGTATCGCCACCACTTCGAGCAGATGGACAGTAAGCAGGTGGGTGCTGTTGTCCACTTACTGTCAACTGTGATTTCCTTCAAAGTGTAATCGCTGGGACTGCCACAAAGTCAAGTAATCACCAGGGCCAGTATCAAGAGCTGTCATATATGTTTAGTTTCTTAAAGATATAGTTTCCATTATAAGTCTAGTTTCCCACACGGCAGTCTCCGTGGTTGACACTCCCACACAAGTCTAGTTCCCCAGGGTCTAGTCTTCAAAGAAGACACACAAAAAAGCTGACAAAAAAATCTTGTTTCCTGTAGGTTAGTCTCCAGGGTTGAGATATAAGTCTAGTTTCTTAGGCTAACATACAAGTCTAGTTTTCTATAGGTTACTATCTAGGGCTGACATATAAATTTAGTTTTTTCTGTGGTCCCTAGGATTGACTCAACAGTGTTTTTCTGTGGTCCCTAGGATTGACTCAACAGTGTTTTTCTGTGGTCCCTAGGATTGACTCAACAGTGTTTTTCTGTTGTCCCTAGGATTGACTCAACAGTGTTTTTCTGTTGTCCCTAGGATTGACTCAACAGTGTTTTTCTGTTGTCCCTAGGATTGACTCAACAGTGTTTTTCTGTTGTCCCTAGGACTGACTCAACAGTGTTTTTCTGTTATCCAGAATTGACTAAACAGTCAACAGTGTTTTTCTGTGGTCCCTAGGATTGACTCAACAGTGTTTTTCTGTTGTCCCTAAGATTGACTCAACAGTGTTTTTCTGTTGTCCCTAGAATCGACTCATAAGTGTTCTTCTGTTGTCTCTAGGATATACTCAGCAGTGTTTTTCTGTTATCCAGGACTGACTCAGCAGTGTTCTTCTGTTGTCCCTAGGATTGCCTCAGCAGTGTTCTTCTGTTGTCCCTAAGACTGACTTAACAGTGTTCTTCTGTTGTCCCTAGGATTGACCCAACAGTTTTCTTCTGTTGTCCCTAGGACTGACTCAACAGTGTTCTGCTTGCGTCCCTAGAACTGACTCAACAGTGTTCTTCTGTTGTCCCTAGGATTGACTCAACAGTGTTCTTCTGATGTCCCTAGAACTGACTCAACAGTGTTCTTCTGTTGTCCCTAGGACTGACTCAACAGTGTTCTTCTGTTGTCCCTAGGATTGACCCAACAGTTTTCTTCTGTTGTCCCTAGGACTGACTCAACAGTGTTCTTCTGTTGTCCCTAGGACTGACTCAACAGTGTTCTTCTGTTGTCCCTAGGATTTACTCAACAGTGTTCTTCTGTTGTCCCTAGGACTGACTCAACAGTGTTCTTCTGTTGTCCCTAGGACTGACTCAACAGTGTTCTTCTGATGTCCATAGGACTGACTCAACAGTGTTCCTCTGTTGTCCCTAGGATTGACTCAACAGTGTTCTTCTGTTGTCCCTAGGACTGACTCAACAGTGTTCTTCTGTTGTCCCTAGGACTGACTCAACAGTGTTCTTCTATTGTCCCTAGGACTGACTCAACAGTGTTCTTCTATTGTCCCTAGGACTGACTCAACAGTGTTCTTCTGTTGTCCCTAGGACTGACTCAACAGTGTTCTTCTATTGTCCCTAGGACTGACTCAACAGTGTTCTTCTATTGTCCCTAGGATTGACTCAACAGTGTTTTTCTGATGTCCCTAGGACTGACTCAACAGTGTTCTTCTGGTGTCCGGCTACTTATGCCGTAAAACGTCGCAGGGAAGAGTAAGATGTATTTTGCTGTCTTTTGCTCGTCGCGTAGTTTGTGTTAATCGTTAACTGTCTTTCTGTAGTGTGGCTTTTACTGCCTCCACCCATCTGGCTTGCCTCTTGTCTTGTAACCGACTCTTCCCATATAGTGCGCTATAGCTGCTACCTGAGTTTGTTCAGTTCTGACCAGGTGACCAAACCATTTGATTCTTTGATGCTCTATAAAATCTTTCACCGGTTCTGTGCCGACTACTGTTCGTAATTCTTCCTTGTGACTCGGATTCTTATGGGTTGTTTTCCGCCGCAATTGTTGTACATCTGATTGCTGTAATTGTCCCCTTAAGTTTCAGGCACTGGTCATGGCTGGCACTGATGACAAAAAGTCCAGTTTACTACAAGTCTAGTGTCTAGGGCTGTCACATACACCTAGTGTCTAGAGCTGTCACATACACCTAGTGTCTAGAGCTGTCACATAAACCTAGTGTCTAGAGCTGTCACATAAACCTAGTGTCTAGAGCTGTCACATACACCTAGTGTCTAGAGCTGTCAGATACATCTAGTGTCTAGAGCTGTCACATACACCTAGTGTCTAGAGCTGTCACATACACCTAGTGTCTAGAGCTGTCACATACACCTAGTGTCAGGAGCTGTCACATAAACCTAGTGTCTAGAGCTGTCACATAAACCTAGTGTCTAGAGCTGTCACATACACCTAGTGTCTAGAGCTGTCACATAAACCTAGTGTCTAGAGCTGTCACATACACCTAGTGTCTAGAGCTGTCACATACACCTAGTGTCTAGAGCTGTCACATACACCTAGTGTCTAGAGCTGTCACATACACCTAGTGTCTAGGGCTGTCACATACACCTAGTGTCAGGAGCTGTCACATAAACCTAGTGTCTAGAGCTGTCACATAAACCTAGTGTCTAGAGCTGTCACATACACCTAGTGTCAGGAGCTGTCACATACACCTAGTGTCTAGAGCTGTCACATACACCTAGTGTCTAGAGCTGTCGGATAAACATAGTGTCTAGAGCTGTCACATACACCTAGTGTCTAGAGCTGTCACATACACCTAGTGTCTAGAGCTGTCACATACACCTAGTGTCAGGAGCTGTCACATAAACCTAGTGTCTAGAGCTGTTACATACACCTAGTGTCTAGAGCTGTCACATACACCTAGTGTCTAGAGCTGTCACATACACCTAGTGTCTAGAGCTGTCACATACACCTAGTGTCTAGGGCTGTCACATACACCTAGTGTCAGGAGCTGTCACATACACCTAGTGTCAGGAGCTGTCACATACACCTAGTGTCTAGAGCTGTCACATAAACCTAGTGTCTAGGGCTGTCACATAAACCTAGTGTCTAGAGCTGTCACATACACCTAGTGTCTAGAGCTGTCACATAAACCTAGTGTCTAGAGCTGTCACATAAACCTAGTGTCTAGAGCTGTCACATAAACCTAGTGTCTAGAGCTGTCACATAAACCTAGTGTCTAGAGCTGTCACATAAACCTAGTGTCTAGAGCTGTCACATAAACCTAGTGTCTAGGGCTGTCACATACATCTAGTGTCTAGAGCTGTCACATACACCTAGTGTCTAGAGCTGTCATATAAATCTAGTGTCTAGGGCTGTCACATACACCTAGTGTCTAGAGCTGTCATATAAATATAGTGTCTAGGGCTGTCACATACACCTAGTGTCTAGAGCTGTCATATAAATCTAGAGTCTAGGGCTGTCACATAAACCTAGTGTCTAGAGCTGTCACATAAACCTTGTGTCTAGAGCTGTCACATACACCTAGTGTCTAGAGCTGTAAGATACATCTAGTGTCTAGAGCTGTTACATACACCTAGTGTCTAGAGCTGTCACATACACCTAGTGTCTAGAGCTGTCACATACACCTAGTGTCTAGAGCTGTCACATACACCTAGTGTCTAGAGCTGTCACATACACCTAGTGTCTAGAGCTGTCACATAAACCTAGCGTCTAGAGCTGTCCTATAAATCTAGTGTCTAGAGCTATCACATAAACATAGTGTCTTGCTAGACTGCTGCTGTCATATAAATTAAATGTTAAATATAACGATGCTGGCATTAGAAGTAAAATAGAGAGTGAAAACATAAAAAAGCCATATCTGTACATCTCAGTGTAAAAGTGTACCAGTCAACAAATACATGTATGGTACTCCTCTCACTCACTTCCTGGCGTGTGACACTAGGAACAAGAGAGAGTTGAGTACACTTCTTGTTTGTGTGACAGGAAACACGACAGAGTTGTGTACCCTCTTTGTGTGACAGGAAACACGACAGAGTTGTGTACCCTTGTTTGTGTGACAGAAAACCCGACAGAGTTGTGTACCCTCTTTGTGTGACAGGGTACACGACAGAGATGGGTACCCTTGTTTGTGTGACAGGAAACACGACAGAGTTGTGTACCCTTGTTTGTGTGACAGGAAACACGACAGAGTTGTGTACCCTTGTTTGTGTAACAGGGAACACGACAGAGTTGTGTACCCTTGTTTGTGTGACAGGAAACGCGACAGAGTTGCGTACTCTTGTTTGTGTAACCGCCATAAACGTGCCCTGATCTCACACAGTGAAAACTGAAAGGTTTATCAGAAAGCCAGTTTATTCGATTTCGAAGTACATCTGCATCAGAGACGAGGAACTAACAGCCTGCATACAAATAGGCTAAATCTGTAAAACGGATCTGCACTCAACACTTAAGTTCTGGACTTACACTGTAGAGCTATCCACCTTAATTTACCGTTAATGGGCGGTAAAATAATAAGAAATTCAGTGATGTGTTACGCATAAAGTACTGTAAGGAAAATGACAAATCTGAAATGCTAACAGATGACCAGAGTGACTTCAATCGCATGTTGTTTGTCCACAGAATGTTGCCTACTATCAAGACAGGGAAAAGGAGGCTGCCTTCGAGTTGGTTATCACAGACAGTCCCGGGACTGATGGCTCCAACTTCATTCTGGTGAGTGGCTTCTATTGAAAGATGTTTCTCTCATTGTCAGTATGGTTATCGTGAGATCAGCTATAAGTGTACATCATCAGATAGCCAAAGTCAGTTTTTAAACACAGATCAGTCCCCAGTGTGGATTTGAACCTGAGAGCTTTGGTTAAGCGCGTAAACGTCTTGCTGCTACTGCCACTAATCAAAGCTGAGACCTCTATCAGTCAGTCTACATGTTTGTCTGTACTTGTGTCGTCTGTATACACATTTACTGCTTCTGATTTCAGAGAGGAGAGCTCATGAGAGAAGGAGAAAAGTACTTCTTGAATCCACCAGATTCCAGAGTCAAGCGAGATGCTTCGTCACCGGAGACTCCCGAAGATGCTTCGTACAATCTGGTTTCACAGCCGACGTCTCCTGTAGCACTGCATGACGTCATCCTGGTCGGTGAGTACAGCACTGAGCTATTTTTGCCTCCTGCTACATTCTGAATTCATTCTTGTACAGTTATAGTATATTCTTTGCTTACAGTATATTGTATGATTATATTTTGTTGTAGGGTTATAGTATATTGTATAGTTATAGTATATTTTATAGTTAAGGTATATTGTGAAGTTATAGTATATTGTATGGTTATAGTATATTGTATAGTTATAGTATATTGTATAGTTATAGTATGTTGTAAGGTTATAGTATATTGTAAGGTTATAGTATATATTGTATGGTTATAGTATATTGTATGGTTATAGTTAATTGTATGGTTATAGTATATTGTATAGTTGTAGTATATTTTATGGTTATAGTATATTGTAAGGTTATAGTATATTGTATGGTTATAGTATATTGTAAGGTTATAGTATATTGTAAGGTTATAGTATATATTGTATGGTTATAGTATATTTTATGGTTATAGTATATTGTAAGGTTATAGTATATTGTATAGTTATAGTATATTGTGTGGTTATAGTATATTGTAAGGTTATAGTATATTTTATGGTTATAGTTAATTGTATGGTTTTAGTATATTGTAAGGTTATAGTATATTGTATAGTTATAGTATATTGTGTGGTTATAGTATATTGTAAGGTTATAGTATATTGTATAGTTATAGTATATTGTGTGGTTATAGTATATTGTAAGGTTATAGTATATTTCAAGGTTATAGTATATTGTAAGGTTATAGTATATTGTAAGGTTATAGTATATTGTATGGTTATAGTATATTGAAAGGTTATAGTATATTGTAAGGTTATAGTATTTTGTATGGTTATAATAAATTATATGGTTATATTATTGTGTATGGGGATTTTATTTTGTATGTTTAATTATATTGTATATTAGAGTATATTGTATGATTATAATAAACTGACGGATTATAATAAGATTTGTGTGTGATGAAAGCTCATAGGGTTCTGTAGCAGACAGTGACATAGACTGGGTGAGAACGAGCGGGTTTAGACAGACTATCAACAGGTTAAGACAGACTATCAACAGGTTTAGACAGACTATCAACATGTTTAGACAGACTATCAACATGTTTAGACAGGCTATCAACAGGTTTAGACAGACTATCAACAGGTTTAGACAGACTATCAACATGTTTAGACAGACTATCAACAGGTTTAGACAGACTATCAACATGTTTAGGCAGACTATCAACAGGTTTAGACAGATTATCAACATGTTTAGACAGACTATCAACAGGTTTAGACAGACTATCAACATGTTTAGACAGACTATCAACAGGTTTAGACAGACTATCAACATGTTTAGACAGACTATCAACAGGTTTAGACAGACTATCAACATGTTTAGACAGACTATCAACAGGTTAAGACAGACTATCAACATGTTTAGACAGACTATCAACAGGTTTAGACAGACTATCAACATGTTTAGACAGACTATCAACAGGTTTAGACAGACTATCAACAGGTTTAGACAGACTATCAACACTCTCAGTGTAGTGGCAGCTTAAAATGTCAGGCAGCACTTACTGCATCTCTCTCTGTCTCTTTCTCTGTCTCTATCTCTCTCTCCCTCTCTCTTTCTCTCTCTCTCTGTCTGTCTCTTTCTCTCTCTGTCTCTCTCTGTCTCTCTCTCTTTTTGCCTCTCTGTCTGTTTCTCTGTCTGTCTGTCTCTCTCTGTCTCTCTCTCTCCCTTCTCTCTTTCTATCTCTCTCTTTCTCTTTCTCTCTCTGTCTTTCTCTCTATCTTTCTCTCTCTGTCTCTCTGTTTCTGTCTCTTTCTCTTTCTCTCTATGTCTCTCTGTCTCTCTATCTTTCTCTTTCTCTCTCTGTCTCTTTCTCTCTTTCTCTTTCTCTCTCTGTCTCTCTCTATCTCTGTCTCTTTCTCTCTCTGTCTCTCTCTTTCTCACTCTGTCTCTCTCTCTTTCTCTCTCTCTCTCTCTCTCTTTATCTCTCTCTCCCTATCTATACACATCTCTGCCCTCACCCCCACATGATAGTGATGATTGAATCCTACATTATGCAATGTCTCTGTGTTTTCTATTCCTACCTTGTCCTGGTATAGTGACCTCAGTCATCTCTGGCCTCCTGGCATAGTGACCTCAGCCATCTCTGACCTCCTGGCATAGTGACCTCAGCCATCTCTGACGTCCTGCATTCTAAAATATATCTCAGCGGCGTTACGACTTGGCCTTTTGTGCGGTCATGTGTGTTTTTTTTTTAATTTGCAGACCCTGAAGAGAAAGTGAAGGTAGAAACCAAAGAGCCAAATATACCTGGTGTAGAACCACTAGCCAACGTGACCACACCGCTCCGCCGCGCCAGTCGCCAGTCCACACAGACCATCTTCATCGATGTGGTGGCCGTGGTTGACCATTCTGCCTACTCCAGGTTCCAGGCCAGTTCTAGCAACAAGGCTGCCACCCTGCAAGCCGTCCGAGAATATTATGCCTTCATTTTTAACGGGGTCAGTGGCTTGTTTCCTCTCTCTCTCTCTCTCTCTCTCTCTCTCTCTCTCTCTCTCTCTCTCTCTCTCTTTCTTTCTCTCTCTCTCTCTCTCTCTCTCTCTCTCTCTCTCTCTCTTTTTTTTGTTTCCTCCGGCTCATCTATCCCCTCTCTCTCTGTCTCCCCCCCCTCTCTCTCTCCTCTCTCTCTTTTCTACCTCCTCTATCCCCTCTCTCTGTCTCTCTCTCCTCCTCTCTGTCTTTCTCCCCCTCTCTCTGTCTCTCTCTTCTCTCTCTCTCTCTCGCCCTCTCTCTCTCTCTCTCTCTTTGCTTACTCTACCTGCCGCCCTCTCTCTCTCTCTCTCTTTGCTTACTCTACCTGCCGCCCTCTCTCTCTCTCTCTCTCTTTGCTTACTCTACCTGCCGCCCTCTCTCTCTCTCTCTCTTTGCTTACTCTACCTGCCGCCCTCTCTCTCTCTCTCTGTGCTTACTCTACCTGCCGCCCTCTCTCTCTCTCTCTTTGCTTACTCTACCTGCCGCCCTCTCTCTCTCTCTCTTTGCTTACTCTACCTGCCGCCCTCTCTCTCTCTCTCTCTCTTTGCTTACTCTACCTGCCGCCCTCTCTCTCTCTCTCTCTCTTTGCTTACTCTACCTGCCGCCCTCTCTCTCTCTCTCTCTTTGCTTACTCTACCTGCCGCCCTCTCTCTCTCTCTCTCTCTTTGCTTACTCTACCTGCCGCCCTCTCTCTCTCTCTCTCTTTGCTTACTCTACCTGCCGCCCTCTCTCTCTCTCTCTCTTTGCTTACTCTACCTGCCGCCCTCTCTCTCTCTCTCTCTTTGCTTACTCTACCTGCCGCCCTCTCTCTCTCTCTCTCTTTGCTTACTCTACCTGCCGCCCTCTCTCGTAAATTTCACAAATAATGACTGGTGCAATCAGTAAGTTTAGGCAGCTCAATATAACAAATTATGATTTGTTTACTAGATTCGTTTATACAGGTAGATATAACAATAAACGATTTCATTACCTAAGCGTAGACAACTCTACATAACTAGCATTCGTTTATACAGGTAGATATAACAATAAACGATTTCATTACCTAAGCGTAGACAACTCTACATAACTAGCATTCGTTTATACAGGTAGATATAACAATAAACGATTTCATTACCTAAGCGTAGACAACTCTACATAACTAGCATTCGTTTATACAGGTAGATATAACAATAAACGATTTCATTACCTAAGCGTAGACAACTCTACATAACTAGCATTCGTCTCACTCACCAAGTTAAGACCATTAAATATTAAACAATTAATTGTACAGTACAATACACATTTCGGCAAACATTATTTAAATAATTGCATCACTATTAATTCCTGGCATTCGGGCTAAAATGTAATATTTGGGACATTCAAAGAGAATAACAAAGACAAAAACTGCGTGTACAAAAGTGTTGAGTGGGAGTAGACTGAGGCAGATCAAGACGACCGCGAAGAAATCAGATATATATATATAGACAATATATATATAAAACGTAAATGAACTGACCCTTATACACGACCACAAGTATTTGGCAAAAAGGGCTAGACCCATATATTGTAGACTATTCGACACTCGGTGTGTGATGTGGCTAACGTCATACCGATCGCTTTTACTTCCCAGGAATATACCTGGTACCTACTTAGGGCTGGTTCGATCTGGGAGTAATTAGGGGGAAAAAAAACCCGGCTCCGTGAGGACCCGAAGCCACTACCTGGCGATCTGTAGGCGAGTGTCTAGTCAAGATCATGTATATGTAGATCTACTAGCACTCGGAGTCACCAGCTGGAAAGAGAAGGACAGTAGCAGAGATGAATGGACAAGGGCACTATCTGTCTCTGTGAGTTTCAATGGCTGGCAATGTTGGATGAGAAGATGAACCTAAGTTTATGTATCGAAACATACCAAGTGGCAAGTGCCTCGTTCGGTAAGTGGATGAACCCAACCAATCAGAATGTTGACACCTTTGACCTTGTCTCGTGGCACAGGTGGACATGAGGTTCCAAGGGATAACCAACAGCAAGTATTCCATCCGGGCTCGTTTGGTCAAGCTGCTAATTGCCGAGGTGAGTACGTTTACATGACAGTTTTGTATAAACACACACGCGCACTCACACAAACGCGCACTCACACACACGCGCACTCACACACACGCGCACTCACACACACGCGCACTCACACACACGCGCACTCACACATACGCGCGGTCACACACACGCACCCACACATACGCGCACTCACACATACGCGCACTCACACACACGCGCACTCACACACACGCGCACTCACACACGCGCGTACTCCACACACACGAGCACTCACATACACGCGCACTCAAACACACACGCACTCACACACGCGCACGGATGTACACACACGACCACTCACACACACGACCACTAATGTACACACACACATACATGTGTACACGCAATTGTTGTACACATTTCAAGTGAAGCTATCAACAATTATTTTTCTAAAATCAAAATGAAATCCGACCAGTGAAAGTGATAAAGCAGTATAGCAACCATATCATAATATCATGGACACCCCTACCGTTTTCTCTCTCTCTCTCTCTCTCTCTCTCTCTCTCTCTCTCTCTCTCTCTCTCTCTCTCTCTCTCTCTCTCTCTCTCTCTCTCTCTCTCTCTCCCCCTCCCCTCTTCAGTTGAAACAGATTTGATATATCTGTTCGTTAATATGTGCACACGAGAGTCGCCATGGTGCAGCGGCTAGACTCTCGACTTTGGATCTGAAGTTCTTGGGTTCCATTCAGGACTTTGATAGTATTTTTTTTCTTTTCTCATCTAAAAGGTCCCAGGTGGAGCCAGCCTTAAATGGGTACCAGGTAAAAGTCTATGGAAGTAAAGGCGGCCTGTGAGATGAGCACATCACCCACCGGTCGAGAAAATATAGATCCAGCCCTAATTGCTAACTACTCCTGAAGGCGTGAAACACAACTTAACACTGTCTTTACTTAATGACTGTTAAGATGTACGTATGGCTAAGGGATGTGTTTATCCACAGACGGCTCAAGCCTGCCAGTTCACAGAGAAGTACCGAGTGTCGAACTCACCCCGAGACCGGATCGACGCCAACGATGCGCTGTACGCGCTGAGTGAGTTTGTTGTCGGACCCGGTAGAGATATCATCCTCAGTCACGATCACGTGATTTTGTTTACTACGTAAGTGTTACGTGACTGTACTCCCTTACTCCTCTATCTGTGGATGTACATAACAGCAGTGTGTATCATGTTGTTGTTGTTGTTGTTGTTGTTGTTGTTGTTGTTGTCCACCACATGTCATGATGACCAGTCCTTTCACCCAGCGGTGACTGGATTAGGTTTTGTGGGTGGCTGATGAAAGGATGACTTGCGCGGTGATTTTGATTTAAGTGAGGAAGAGTTGCACAATTCGTCGACCTCACTCTCTCGCCCAAGTCCATCGAAGTCCAGTAGCAAAGCCAATCAAGACGTCTGGAGATAAACTCTGGTGCAATGAATGACCAGGGCTTATCAGGTGCCTTGCCGAGCCCAAGGCTCTCCACAGAGCCTGCTGGTAGTCGCCTTGTTGTCCGTTGAACCAAGATGGTTTCCTCCGCTCAGTCCGCCGAATCCAGACTTTTCATGCTGGGTAGGCATTCCCTAACTCACCGATCAGTGTGGGCTGATGGGCTGCACTCTCCTGGTTTATCCAGCCAGTCAAAGCTGTTGCCCAGGGGGCGGTCGCTCTACCGTGTACAACACAGCAGTGTGGGCTGATGGGCTGCACTCTCCTGGTTTATCCAGCCAGTCAAAGCTGTTGCCCAGGGGGCGGTCGCTCTACCGTGTACAACACAGCAGTGTGGGCTGATGGGCTGCACTCTCCTGGTTTATCCAGCCAGTCAAAGCTGTTGCCCAGAGCCGATTGCTGTACCGTGTACAACACAGCAGTGTGGGCTGATGGGCTGCACTCTCATGGTTTATCTAGCCAGTCAAAGCTGTTGCCCAGGGCCGATTGCTGTACCGTGTACAGCACAGCAGTGTGGGCTGATGGGCTGCACTCTCATGGTTTATCCAGCCAGTCAAAGCTGTTGCCCAGCGGCCGATTGCAGTACCGTGTACAACACAGCAGTGTGGGCTGATGGGCTGCACTCTCATGGTTTATCCAGCCAGTCAAAGCTGTTGCCCAGCGGCCGATTGCAGTACCGTGTACAACACAGCAGTGTGGGCTGATAGGCTGCACTCTCCTGGTTTAGCCAGACCGTCAACACTGTTGCCCAGGGGGCGGTCGCTGTAGCATGTACAACACAGGAGTGATTATCATATCGTTTTGGCTTGTCCTATTCTGTTCTGTGTGATACATCTCCCGTCGGATGGCAGCCATGTGCCTTGATACTTAAAATGTTGATATTGTTGTCATAATTGTGGCTGTGTTGACACTGATAACGATGAGAGTCGTCATAAACGTAGCCAAGAGGAGGGTGCTACTGATGATGATGGTGGCGACGGCGACGACAATAAAGATAAGAATACAGACAATGACAATGTTGATGATGAATCGGTGGATGCTGTAAAGATATTTACTATCATGGTCAGCTGACGACGACAACAATGATGGCGATGATGAAGATGATAATGATGATGAAAACGATGAAAATGGTAATTACAATGATGAAAAGAAGTTGTTGGGGATAATGAGGACGACGACTGGTGAATCAGACAGAATATTTTTGTGGGTTTTTTTCCTGTGATAATGAGAGTGCTGTGGTCTGTCCACAGATATGATCTGACATCCAAGTCTTCCACCGGGTCTGTGTCCGAGTCTACCACAGGTGACTGTCTGTCTGTCTGTTTGCTTGTCTGCCCGTCTGTCTGTCTGTCTGTCTGTCTGTCTGTCTGTCTGTCTGTCTGTCTGTCTGTCTGTCTGTCTGTCTGTCTGTCTGTCTGTCTGTCTGTCTGTCTGTCTGTCTGTCTGTCTGTCTGTCGGTCTGTCTGTCTGACTGGTTGTCTGTCTATCTATTTGTCTGACTGTCTGTCTGTCTGTCTATTTATCTGACTGTCTGTCTGTCTGTCTGTCTGTCTGTCTGTCTGTCTGTCTGTCTGTCTGTCTGTCTGCCTATCTGTTTGACTGTCTGCCCGTCTGTCTGTCTGTCTGTCTGTCTGTCTGTCTGTCTGTCTGTCTGTCTGTCTGTCTGTCTGTCTGTCTGTCTGTCTGTCTGTCTGTCTGTCTGTCTGTCTGTCTGTCTGTCTGTCTGTCTGTCTGTCTGTCTGTCTGTCTGTCTACCCCTCTGTCTGTCGGTCTGTCTGTCTGTCTGTCTGTCGGACAGTCTGTCTGTCTGACTGTCTGTCTGTATATCTGTTTGACAGTCTGCCCGTCTATCTGTATGTCTACCTGTCTGTCTGTCTGTCTGTCTGTCTGGCTGTCTGTCTGTCTGTCTGTTGCGTGTGTGCTTGCCTGCCTGTCTGTCTTCCCCAGTTTAACGAAGGTTAATGTGAATTTGTCCGTCATGTTGATCCTACTTAGAACAAAACAATTGATATACAACACTTATGTATGACACTAAAGTTTTTGTGTGATATGTGACCCTAATGTTGCATTGTTATATGTGACCGCATTGTTGTATTGTGACAAGCGACCCTAACGTTGTATTGTGACATGTTACCCCAATGTTGTATTGTGACAGGTGACCCTAATGTTGTAATGTGACAGGCGACCCTAATGTTGTATTGTGACAGGTGACCCTAATGTTGTATTGTGACAGGCGACCCTAATGTTGCATTGTGACAGGTGACCCTAATGTTGTATTGTGACAGGTGACCCTATTGTTGTATTGTGACAGGCGACCCTAATGTTGTATTGTGACATGTGACCCTAATGTTGTATTGTGACAGGTGACCCTAATGTTGTATTGTGACAGGCGACCCTAATGTTGTATTGTGACATGTGACCCTAATGTTTTATTATGACATGTGACCCTAATGTTGTATTGTGACAGGTGACCCTAATGTTGTATTGTGACATGTGACCTTAATGTTGTATTGTGACAGGTGACCCTAATGTTGTATTGTTACATGAGACCCTAATGTTTTATTGTGACATGTGACCGAAATGTTGTATTGTGACATTTGACCCTAACTAAATTGCTAGTGTGATAGGTGACACTTATGTTGTATTGTGACATGTGACCAAAATGTTGTATTGTGATATTTGACCCCAACTAAATTGCTAGTGTGATAGGTGACATTAATGTTGTACTGTGTGACTTCTTCTTAGGTCTGGCCTACACCAACACCATGTGCAGAACTGACGGTAAAAGTGCCTCTATCGTAGAGGATGTGGGAGGATTCCAGTGTATAGAGACAGCCACGCATGAGATGGGACATAGGTATTCCAGCATTCATCATTTCTATTGTTAGATCCTCGACACTGCAGCAGGGTAACAGACACTCCTCCCCCCCCCCCCCCATCCCACTCCCTCTCCGACCTGAGTGTATCTGTGTCTAGGTCTCACCACACGTAGTAGTGTAGCACTGAAAATTTCCCGTTACCCCCCGTGGCATTACAACATCGTGTGGAACCCAGTGTGGAGAATGTCCTGCCATCCCGTCTCGCACACACACACACACACACACACACACACACACACACACACACACACACACACACACACACACACACACACACACGCACACACACACACACACACACAATTCATAATGTTAAGAAAACATATTTCCTCATTGTGGGTGCGGCCCGAAACCCCGCATGTCCCTTGCTACGCCTCTGACTACATTACAGACAGACAGACAGTGCCCATATGACAGACAGACAGTGCCCGCATGACAGACATACAGTGCCCGCTTAACAGACAGACAGACAGTGCCCATATGACAGACAGACAGTGCCCATATGACAGACAGTACCCGCATGACAGACAGACAGTGCCCGCTTAACAGATAGACAGACAGTGCCCACGTTTCAGACAGTGCCCACATGACATACAGACAGTACCAACATGACAGGCAGACAGTGCCCACATGACAGACAGTGCTAACATAACATACATACAGTGCCCACCTAACAGACAGACAGTGCCTGTATGACAGATAGACAGTGCCTACATGACAGACAAACAGTGGCTACATGACAGGCAGACAGACAGTGCCCACGAGGCACGCATACAGTGCCCACAAGGCATACAGACAGTGCCCACAAGGCACACATACAGTGCCCACAATGCACACAGACCGTTCCCACACGAGACAGACTGTACCCACACGACACAAAAACAGACACACCCCATAGTGTGACAAATTAAGAAAACATACACCTCAGTGTTCTGTAAATTGAGACTGGGCAGTTTGACAACTTGTATCAATAACCTGGGGTTGAAGAGGTGCCACGGTGAGATTAGTCAATACCATATTTTCATAAATGTGTGCGGGAGTGAGTGCCTGTGAGTTTGTGTGTGTGTGTGACTTTGTGTGTGCGTGTGTGTGTGTGTGAAATAGAGATAGAGATAGATAGATAGATAGATAGATAGATAGATAGAGAGAGAGAGAGAGAGAGAGAGAGAGAGAGAGAGAGAGAGAGAGAGAGATACTAGGGCGGTTTTAACATCAATGTCAACTGTCGATAGTATCATGGTCGTCTATTTATTGGTATTTCTGGAAAAAAATATGTTTTTTGACATTTATAAATAATGCCATTTGTTCTCGAAGACTCCGGACACCTACGAGTCCTGCTCTTAGGTTAAGTCTGTCCTGTGTTCTCGGAGACTCCGTGCACCTACCAGTCCTCTCATATGTTAAGACGGTCCTGTGTTCTCGGAGGCTCCGTGCACCTACCAGTCCTCTCATATGTTAAGACGGTCCTGTGTTCTCGGAGACTCCGTGCACCTACCTGTTCTCTCATATGTTAAGACGGTCCTGTGTTTTCAGAGACTCCGTGCACCTACCAGTCCTCTCATATGTTAAGACGGCCCTGTGTTCACAGCGACTCCGTGCACCTACAGTCCTGCTCTTAGGTTAAGTCGGTCATGTTTTCTCGGAGACTCCGTGCACCCACGAGTCCTGCTCTTAGGTAAAGTCGGTCCTGTGTCCCCGGAGACTCCGGGCACCTACAGTCCTCTCATATGTTAAGACGGTCCTGTGTTCTCGGAGACTCCGTGCACCTACCAGTCCTGTTCCTAGGTTAAGACGGTCCTGTGTTCTCGGAGACTCCGTGCACCTACCAGTCCTACTCCTAGGTGAAGACGGTCATGTGTTCTCGGAGACTCCGTGCACCTACAGTCCTCCTCTAGGTTAAGACTAAGACGGTCCTGTGTTCTCGGAGACTCCGTGCACCTACCAGTCCTGCTCCAAGGTTAAGACGGTCCTGTGTTCTCAGAGACTCCATGCACCTAAAGTCCTCTCCTAAGTTAAGTCGGTCCTGTGTTCTCAGAGACTCCGTGCACTTACAGTCCTGCTCCTAGGTTAAGACGGTCCTGTGTTCTCGGAGACTCCGCGCACCTACCAGTCGTGCTCTTAGTTTAAGTCGGTCCTGTGTTCTTAAAGACGCACCCACAAGTCCTGCTCTTAGTTTAAGTCGGCCCTGTGTTCTGAGAGACTCCAGGCACCTACAGTCCTCTTCTAGGTTAAGAGGGTCCTGTGTTCTCGGAGACTCCGTGCACCTACAGTCTTCTCAAATGTCAAGACGGTCCTGTGTTCTCAGAGACTCCGTGAACTTACCAGTCCTGCTCCTAGGTTAAGTCGGTCCTATGTTCTCGAAGACTCCGTGTACCTACAGTCCTGCTCTTAGGTTAAGTCGGTCCTATGTTCTCGAAGACTCCGTGCACCTACCAGTCCTGCTCTTAGGTTAAGTCAGTCCTGTGTTCTCAGAGGCTCCATGTACCTACCAGTCCTGCTCTTAGGTTAAGTCGGTCCTATGTTCTCGAAGACTCCGTGTACCTACCAGTCCAGCTCTTAGGTTAAGTCGGTCCTATGTTCTCGAAGACTCCGTGTACCTACCAGTCCAGCTCTTAGGTTAAGTCGGTCCTATGTTCTCGTAGACTCCGTGTACCTACCAGTCCTGCTCTTAGGTTAAGTCAGTCCTGTGTTCTCAGAGGCTCCATGTACCTACCAGTCCTGCTCTTAGGTTAAGTCAGTCCTGTGTTCTCGAAGACTCCGTGTACCACCTACCAGTCCTGCTCTTAGGTTAAGTCAGTCCTGTGTTCTCAGAGGCTCCGTGTACCTACCAGTCCTGCTCTTAGGTTAAGACGGTCCTATGTTCTCGAAGACTCCGTGTACCTACCAGTCCTGCTCTTAGGTTAAGTCGGTCCTATGTTCTCGGAGATTCCGTGCACCTACCAATCCTACTCTTAGGTTAAGTCGGTCCTATGTTCTCGGAGATTCCGTGCACCTACCAGTCCTGCTCTTAGGTTAAGTCAGTCCTGTGTTCTTGAAGACTCCGTGTAGCTACCAGTCCTGCTCCTAGGTTAAGTCAGTCTACCTGACTGGCTACAAGAAATGTATAACTCTAGTGAACGGCATGACTCCTGCAAGATCACTCACAGTGGGCATGGACGATCATGGAGCCGTCATTTGGAAGTCCTCTCGATTTTACTTCACAGTAAATTAAATGGAGACACCGCCGCTTGGTGTAGAGTCTGTCAGGCAGTCTGTGAACAGAGCCCTAATCTTTACAGGACCATGTAACATTTTGATAAGGTACCAAGTTACTGTCCAAATAAGGTTCGCGCATAAATTTCGCCTGACTCTACCAAGATAAAGGCAGTTCAATGTTTGACCAAAGTAGGAAGCTAACTTTTCATCTGAAAATTCTGTGGCGCGGTGATTTATGTCACAGGCGTGAGGGGAAGTTAAGTCCAACATGACGTGTATAAGGAGATACTCCGTACGTCACTCGGGCGCCAGTCCTTCACTATCCTGGTTGTACGGAACCTCACGCAAGACCTCTACAGCACGTCCTCGTCGTGCGCCACGGATAATGTCTCAAATGAGCATTAACAGAGCTGTCAGGGGATCTCGGAGTTCGGCGGCCCCCAGAGGTGATGTGTCCTTGTGGCCCTCATCATCCCGCCCCCAAACGCTTGGGTGAAAAATGTTATCAAAACTCATTAGGAACATGAGTAGGTTAAACAAAAGTACAGCCAAAATTACAACCCTTGGTTAAAAGACTGCGGAGACTGTTAACCCTCAGTGTCGTCGTCACCGCGCTGAGGTACACCACAACAGCAACCATCCATAGGCGGACCATCCTTGTACATCCTCGGTTAACCCTCAGTGTCGTCGTCACCGCGCTGAGGTACACCACAAAAGCAACCATCCATAGGCTGGCCATTCATACACATCCTCGGTTAACCCTCAGTGTCGTCGTCACCGCGCTGAGGTACACCACAACAGCAACCATCCATCGGACGGCTAAGCCTAAATGTCCGTCAAAACTAGATCATACGGATCAAAATCTGACCATCAAAATTGGTATTGAACTGAAAAAGACCGAATGTCCACACCCAAAGACCCCACTCGCCCGAGTGTTGGGACAAAACTGAAAACGATATGCCCGATGCAGGATGTAAAACTCTGTCGGACTAACGGCTCGTCAAAGAAATCTTACGTGCGAAGAAAAAAGAATGTACCTATTTGTGTGGTCACAAAAGTCCAAAACCCACGGGCTGCTCCCCGCTGACTTCCAGAGGTCGCAGCCCCTGCCGAGCGGGAGGCCTGATACGGTTGTGAGGTTAAGCAGGCATGTGCAGGACGTGAAGATTCCTTGGGTGAGCCCAGAACCAGAGCGCCATGTGCCGGCTCTGCATACATGGATGCCTCCTTGGATGGCGGGGAATGCCCATGATCTGCCCCTGCCTTCCCTTGAGGGCTAACTGTTTCACAGGGGGCTGACCCAAAGGAGTACTCCGGGGGCAATACCTGCGGCGAAGGAGACAAAGTGGACACCACACAAATCAGGCAACGTCTCGACCCACACAAAACAATGGCCACAGTCAACCTAGAAATAGGCCTGACGTCTTCCTTTGAAGTCGGCGTACAGCTGCCCACGAGGCAGGGAAATAAAAAACGGTTGTACACGCAAAAATCAGGTCCAGGTGAAAGCCAAAAGTCCAAGCGGACGATTAACCGGGACCTTCCACTGGAATTCACAGCCGGTGTTCGGGGGGAAAAAAAAAATCTGATAATTCTGAAGCGGCCCACCAATGATGATGTGTGTATCCAAATGGCCATTTGCATATAAGAAGTTATCCATCAACAGTATAGACGTGCTGGTCTTTTAAAAAATCAGCCAATTCTAATTTGATTTGTCAGACTCAATAGAAATCAACAATTGCTACCCTCTTCATACCGATGGGAGGTGGAAGAAAAGCGAGCCACATACACTAACACGCATAGCAAACACAATTTCATGTTTTACAGAGCATTGGAGACATTTATTATTATCAAGATGTCAGAGCCCGCCACGGGCTACCTGGTAACCACACTGAACGTCATTACCTGTTGTTATTTCTACCGTCAACAGCCTGTCCTCGCCACATGATGGTGAGGGAAACGTCTGCGATTCCAATGACCGCTACATCATGTCCACTGGAGGGCTTCCGGCCACCGAAACCAACAAGTACAACCCTTGGTACTTCTCCAAATGTAGTATCGACTACATCACTAAGTTCATCGACGAGAAACTAGCAACTTCGTAAGTAGAGCATATATCACAACTTTTATCAACAGCAAATTAACAACCCCTAAGTATGACATACATGACACAGGTCATCAGCAACAAACTAACAACTTTTTGAATAGTGCATACATCACACAGTCCACCAACAACAAATTAACAACTCTTTGAATAGTACATACATCACACAGTCCACCAACAACAAATTAACAACTCTTTGAGTACTGCCAAATCAAAGGCCATATGTAACTTGTAAAGAAGACAGTTTAGGCCTGACCCCACAAGCACTTGTTGCTAAGAACACAAATTACAGGGGCGACAATCGGTGATTAAAAGTTACTTTGGTGGAAAACATCGACCGACATGAACAGACAACATACATGTAGAAAGTGCCCATTCTAGTGTGGAAATCATATTGTTCTTTATAGAATCTGTGGGAATTTAAGTACCAGCCTTCGCCCCTGATGTCATGACCTGCAACGTGTGAAAGGTCATTGTTAAGGACACTGCAGCTATGGCAGTCAGTGAAAAGCCATTAGATGACAGAGCCCGCACACAGGTGCACCCACAGATACAGGGACACATGAAATAGAGAGGGGAAAGGGGGGGGGGGGAGTCGGGATCGGCCCACACACAAATAGGGCAGGGTGTAGGTCGAGGGCCTAGTAATAGTTTATGAAGATAATAATGATAGGGTCTTTTCTTTTTGTTCACCCCATCAATGGGTCTCTGAGATTTCTTGGAGAGTTCTCGGAAAAGTCCAGCAGTGTAGGGGTGTTAGGGTGTCAAATGAACACAGACAAACACTATTTAATCGGAGACATTCTGGGAGATTCCCAAGATGGCTCGGATTCCCCGAGACGAGTTGAACACAAATTAATTAATATTATTATGCTATAAAGTAAACAAATATACTAGTATAGATAGAATAATGTGAAATAGGTAACCAACTGTTTTTAAAAGAGAATTTATGCTTAGACTCGTTACTAAATGGGGGACGGTGATAGGGGCGGGGAGGGGGCGGGCGGGAGCACAGGGCTAAGCTGTCATGTTTAGGCGCCTACGCCCAGGATGGTGTATGTGGATGAGGCCTGGACATCAAGCAGATACATTCGGATCTAATATGTCAGTGTGTTAGTCAGTTTACCAAAAAGCAAACAAAAATAGAGCGCTGGTATTTGATGTGTCCAAATGTTGCTTCACCCTACAGGGCTGGCAAAACATGTCTGACCCAACAAATGGCTATCGGCAGTGGTGTGGTGGACATCGGCGATCGCCTGCCGGGGCAAGAGTTCTCCGCGGATGACCAGTGCAGGATGATTTATGGCAGCCAGTCCAGACTGTGCAGGGTAAGTCTTTGATAGCGGCTAATATAGGGTCAGTCTTTGATAGTGGGTAATATAGGGTCAGTCTTTGATAGTGGGTAATATAGGGTCAGTCTTTGATAGTGGGTAAAATAGGGTCAGTCTTTGATAGCGGGTAATATAGGGTCAGTCTTTGATAGTGGGTAATATAGGGTCAGTCTTTGATAGCGGGTAATATAGGGTCAGTCTTTGATAGTGGGTAAAATAGGGTCAGTCTTTGATAGCGGGTAATATAGGGTCAGTCTTTGATAGTGGGTAAAATAGGGTCAGTCTTTGATAGCGGGTAATATAGGGTCAGTCTTTGATAGTGGGTAATATAGGGTCAGTCTTTGATAGTGGGTAAAATAGGGTCAGTCTTTGATAGCGGGTAATATAGGGTCAGTCTTTGATAGCGGGTAAAATAGGGTCAGTCTTTGATAGCGGCTAATATAGGGTCAGTCTTTGATAGTGGGTAAAATAGGGTCAGTCTTTGAAAGCGGGTAATATAGGGTCAGTCTTTGATAGTGGGTAATATAGGGTCAGTCTTTGATAGTGGGTAATATAGGGTCAGTCTTTGATAGTGGGTAAAATAGGGTCAGTCTTTGATAGCGGGTAATATAGGGTCAGTCTTTGATAGCGGGTAATATAGGGTCAGTCTTTGATAGCGGGTAATATAGGGTTAGTCTTTGATAGCGGGTAATATAGGGTCAGTCTTTGATAGCGGGTAATATAGGGTCAGTCTTTGATAGCGGGTAATATAGGGTCAGTCTTTGATAGCGGGTAATATAGGGTCAGTCTTTGATAGCGGGTAATATAGGGTCAGTCTTTGATGGCGGGTAATATAGGTTCAGTCTTTGATAGCAGGTAATATAGGGTCAGTCTTTGATAGCGGGTAATATAGGGTCAGTCTCACATAACGTGTAATATAGGGTAAGTCTGTGATACAGGGCTATATAGTGTATATCTTTGGTACAGGGCTATATAGTCTATGTCTTTGGTACAGGGCTATATAGTCTATGTCTTTGGTACAGGGCTATATAGTCTATGTCTTTGGTACTGGTCTATATAGTCTATGTCTTTGGTACAGGGCTATATAGTCTATGTCTTTGGTACAGGGCTATATAGTCTATGTCTTTGGTACAGGGCTATATAGTCTATGTCTTTGGTACAGGGCTATATAGTCTATGTCTTTGGTACAGGGCTATATAGTCTATGTCTTTGGTACAGGGCTATGTAGTCTATGTCTTTGGTACAGGGCTATATAGTCTATGTCTTTGGTACAGGGCTATATAGTCTATGTCCTTGGTACAGGGCTATATAGTCTATGTCTTTGGTACAGGGCTATATAGTCTATGTCTTTGGTACAGGGCTATATAGTGTATGTCTTTGGTACAGGGCTATATAGTGTATGTCTTTGGTACAGGGCTATAAAGTCTATGTCTTTGGTACAGGGTAATATAGTGTTAGTTCGTGATACAGGGCTATATAGTCTATGTCTTTGGTACAGGGTAATATAGTGTTAGTTCGTGATACAGGGAAGGACCTTTTAATATGATTTTTGGAGTCATCCAAACTTAGCTGACATAATTTCTTCAGCAATCTCTGAATAAATGATACCATACAAGCACTGTATATTGCTACAAGATATCTGGAGACATTTCTGCACTGAAGGACACCGTGCAAGCATTGTATCATGGCTACAAGATATCTAGAGACATTTCTGTACTCAAGGACACCGTGCAAGCACTGCATCATGGCTACAAGATATCTGGGCACACTTCTGCTCTCATAGACACCATACAAGCACTGTATTATGGCTACAAGATATCTGGGCACACTTCTGCACTCAAGGACACCATACAAGCACTGTATCATGGCTACAAGATATCTGGGCACATTTCTGCACTCAAGGACACCGTGCAAGCACTGTATCATGGCTACAAGATATCTGGACACACTTCTGCTCTCATAGACACCATACAAGCACTGTATCATGGCTACAAGATATCTAGGCACACTTCTGCACTCAAGGACACCATACACGTACTGTATCATGGCTACAAGATATCTAGGCACACTTCTGCACTCAAGGACACCATACAAGCACTGTATCATGGCTACAAGATAGCTGGGCACATTTCTGCACTCAAGGACATATAAAGGAAACAGCGAAACACATCAACACACCAGTTACAAGGGACATTACTGCGCAAATATGTTTTCATCTATAGTAACAATAGTTGCTGTATACGTTCTCGAGGCACGTTCTTGTTCGTGCTCCTGAGAAGAGCTCACGTGGCCGAACCATTCAGATGTGGAAGAGTGACGTTTGAACAATCTGTATGGTTATGCAATTTTGTTTTACGTCAGGAAAAAATAAAATCCTCACCTGAAACTAATTCCTCAGAATCAGACATCCCCTCCCCCTCCCCCTTCCCGACTACACCGCAAAAGTGGTAGATGCTGGACCAGTCGCATGTTGATGACAGAAGAAACTGACCAGGTGAATCCATCCACCTTGACGAGTCAGAGTTCCCTTGGCCCTGACCTCGCGGCCATGATTTCCCGGTCTTCACCACTTGGAGATAAGGGTACCAGCAGCTCTGGATTTCATTAGAAGATAACAGGTGAAATGGTTTGGCCATATAACGCCGATGTCAGGAGACACTACACCACAGCTTGCAATGACGTACAGACCAAGCTGAGATGGAGAAAATGACGTCCATGCAGGCGATAGACACCGGACATTTCAGAGTCCATGGAAATCCTCATTAATGAAGCACACAAACGGGCTCTTTCCTGTAAAATATTCTTCATATCGAGACCGAAAGGTTCAATAGGATCAAGATGAGATGAGATTCCTAGACATTGACAGTGCACACTAGTTTACTGTTGATTGAACTGTTATCTGAAGACTTGTATGTTTACGCTTTCTTGTCAATTTCATTCGACTGATCAAAGATTCCTCCTGTGTCTAGATATTCATTCCATAACTGAGGTGACTTGATTTGTGAACTTTGGCAGGGCGAAGAGTTTGCAACAGCTGAAGAAGTCTGTGTCTCCATGTTCTGCTTCGACCCTAGCACCACTGGCACGTGCTACAAGCACAAGGCCGCCTCGGGAACCACGTGTGGCACGGGCAAGGTCAGTTGGCCATCCGTGTTGATTTCTTAACTGTTTCATATAGCCCCATTATGTTAACTGCTTCATCCAGCCACATTATGTTAACTGTTTCATATAGCCACATTTTGTTAACTGTTTCATGCAGCCACATTATGTTAGCTGTTTCATGCAGTTACACTATGTTAGCTGTTTCATGCAGCGCCATTATGTTAATTGTTTTATGCAGGCACGTTATCTTAGCTGTTTCATGCAGCCACATTATGTTAGCTGTTTCATGTGGCCACATTATCTTATCTGTTTCACGCAGCCACAATATGTTAGCTGTTTCATGCAGCCACATTATATTATCTGTTTCATGCAGCCACATTATGGTAATTGTTTCATGCAGCCACATTATGTTAGCTGTTTCATCAAGCCACATTATGTTAACTGTTTCATGAAGCCACATTATGGTAACTGTTTCATGCAGCCACATTATGTTAGCTGTTTCATTCATGTCCACTATGTTAGCTGTTTCATTCATGTCCACCATGTTAGCTTTTTCATGCAGCAACATTATGTTAGCTGTTTCACTCATGTCCACTATGTTAGCTGTTTCACTCATGTCCACTATGTTAGCTGTTTCGTTCATGTTCACCATGTTAGCTGTTTCATTCATGTCCACTATGTTAGCTGTTTCATTCATGTCCACTATGTTAGCTGTTTCATTCATGTCCACCATGTTAGATGTTTCATTCATGTCCACCATGTTAGCTGTTTCATGCAGCCACATTATGTTAGCTGTTTCACTCATGTCCACCATGTTAGCTGTTTCACTCATGTCCACTATGTTAGCTGTTTCACTCATGTCCACCATGTTAGCTGTTTCACTCATGTCCACTATGTTAGCTGTTTCACTCATGTCCACCATGTTAGCTGTTTCACTCATGTCCACCATGTTAGCTGTTTCACTCATGTCTACTATGTTAGCTGTTTCACTCATGTCCACTATGTTAGCTGTTTCATTCATGTCCACTATGTTAGCTGTTTCATTCATGTCCACTATGTTAGCTGTTTCATTCATGTCCACTATGTTAGCTGTTTCATTCATGTCCACTAGGTTAGCTGTTTCATTCATTTCCACTATGTTAGCTGTTTCACTCATGTCCCCCATGTTAGCTGTTTCATTCATGTCCACTATGTTAGCTGTTTCACTCATGTCCTCTATGTTAGCTGTTTCATTCATGTCCACCATGTTAGCTGTTTCATTCATGTCCACTATGTTAGCTGTTTCATTCATGTCCACTATGTTAGCTGTTTCATTCATGTCCACTATGTTAGCTGTTTTATTCATGTCCACTATGTTAGCTGTTTCCCTCATGTCCACTATGTTAGCTGTTTTACTCATGTCTCCTATGTTAGCTGTTTCATTCATGTCCACTATGTTAGCTGTTTCACTCCTGTCTCCTATGTTAGCTGTTTCATTCATGTCCACCATGTTAGCTGTTTCACTCATGTCCACTATGTTAGCTGTTTCATTCATGTCCACTATGTTAGCTGTTTCATTCATGTCCACCATGTTAGCTGTTTCACTCATGTCCACTATGTTAGCTGTTTCACTCATGTCCACTATGTTAGCTGTTTCACTCATGTCCACTATGTTAGCTGTTTCATTCATGTTCACTATGTTAGCTGTTTCATTCATGTCCACTATGTTAGCTGTTTCACTCATGTCCACTATGTTAGCTGTTTCACTCATGTCCACTATGTTAGCTGTTTCATTCATGTCCACTATGTTAGCTGTTTCCCTCATGTCCACTATGTTAGCTGTTTCATTCATGTCCACTATGTTAGCTGTTTCACTCATGTCCACTATGTTAGCTGTTTCACTCATGTCCACTATGTTAGCTGTTTCATTCATGTCCACTATGTTAGCTGTTTCCCTCATGTCCACTATGTTAGCTGTTTCATTCATGTCCACTATGTTAGCTGTTTCACTCATGTCCACCATGTTAGCTGTTTCCCTCATGTCCACTATGTTAGCTGTTTCATTCATGTCCACTATGTTAGCTGTTTCACTCATGTCCACCATGTTAGCTGTTTCATTCATGTCCACTATGTTAGCTGTTTCATTCATGTCCACTATGTTAGCTGTTTCATTCATGTCCACTATGTTAGCTGTTTCATTCATGTCCACTATGTTAGCTGTTTCATTCATGTCTACTATGTTAGCTGTTTCACTCATGTCTCCTATGTTAGCTGTTTCATTCATGTCCACCATGTTAGCTGTTTCATTCATGTCCACTATGTTAGCTGTTTCATTCATGTCCACTATGTTAGCTGTTTCATTCATGTCCACCATGTTAGCTGTTTCACTCATGTCCACTATGTTAGCTGTTTCATTCATGTCCACCATGTTAGCTGTTTCATTCATGTCCACCATGTTAGCTGTTTCATTCATGTCCACTAGGTTAGCTGTTTCACTCATGTCCACTATGTTAGTTGTTTCATTCATGTCCACTATGTTAGCTGTTTCATTCATGTCCACCATGTTAGCTGTTTCACTCATGTCCACTATGTTAGCTGTTTCATTCATGTCCACTATGTTAGCTGTTTCATTCATTTCCACTATGTTAGCTGTTTCACTCATGTCCACTATGTTAGCTGTTTCATTCATGTCCTCCATGTTAGCTGTTTCATTCATGTTCACTATGTTAGCTGTTTCATTTATGTCCACTATGTTAGCTGTTTCATTCATGTCCACCATGTTAGCTGTTTCACACATGTCCACTATGTTAGCTGTTTCATTCATGTCCACTTTGTTAGCTGTTTCACTCATGTCCACCATGTTAGCTGTTTCCCTCATGTCCACTATGTTAGCTGTTTCATTCATGTCCACTATGTTAGCTGTTTCATTCATGTCCACTATGTTAGCTGTTTCATTCATGTCCACTATGTTAGCTGTTTCACTCATGTCCACTATGTTAGCTGTTTCATTCATGTCCACCATGTTAGCTGTTTCACTCATGTCTCCTATGTTAACTGTTTCACTCATGTCCACTATGTTAGCTGTTTCACTCATGTCCACCATGTTAGCTGTTTCACTCATGTCCACCATGTTAGCTGTTTCATTCATGTCCACCATGTTAGCTGTTTCATTCATGTCCACCATGTTAGCTGTTTCATTCATGTCCACTATGTTAGCTGTTTCATTCATGTCCACCATGTTAGCTGTTTCATTCATGTCCACCATGTTAGCTGTTTCACTCATGTCCACCATGTTAGCTGTTTCACTCATGTCCACTATGTTAGCTGTTTCATTCATGTCCTCCATGTTAGCTGTTTCATTCATGTTCACTATGTTAGCTGTTTCACTCATGTCCACCATGTTAGCTGTTTCATTCATTTCCACTATGTTAGCTGTTTCACTCATGTCCACTATGTTAGCTGTTTCATTCATGTCCACCATGTTAGCTGTTTCATTCATGTCCACCATGTTAGCTGTTTCATTCATGTCCACTATGTTAGCTGTTTCATTCATGTCCACCATGTTAGCTGTTTCACTCATGTCCACTATGTTAGCTGTTTCATTCTTGTCCTCCATGTTAGCTGTTTCACTCATGTCCACCATGTTAGCTGTTTCATTCATTTCCACTATGTTAGCTGTTTCACTCATGTCCACTATGTTAGCTGTTTCATTCATGTACACCATGTTAGCTGTTTCATTCATGTCCACTATGTTAGCTGTTTCATTCATGTCCACTATGTTAGCTGTTTCATTCATTTCCACTATGTTAGCTGTTTCACTCATGTCTCCTATGTTAGCTGTTTCATTCATGTCCACTATGTCAGCTGTTTCATTCATGTCTCCTATGTCAGCTGTTTCATTCATGTCCACCATGTTAACTATTTCATCCATGTCCATTTTGTTATGGCGCGTCTCAAAAGTCATGCACTCACACTCGCACTCACACTCACACTCACACTCACAAAGATATCTCCACAACCTCTGTGCGGATCAGCATCAATGTTTGCACGTGGCCTTAGTTTCCCATGTCTGTTTAGTTTTATAATTTACAATTGCTCTTTTTTTTTTTTTTTGGCAGCGATTTTTTTTTGGGGGGGGGGGGGGGGGGATCTTGTTTGACAAGCAATTTGCGTACACCTAAAAATAGAATACGGACATTAGCAGCTTCATTATTTCACTGACAGTGTAGTGCCGAGTTTTGGGTATATGAACCCTGACAATGTAGTGCCGTGTTGGGGGGGATGAACACTGAAAATGTAGTGCCGTGTTTGTTGGGGGTTTGAGCCCTGACAATGTAGTGCCGTGTTGGGGGTATGAACCCTGACAATGTAGTGCTGTGTTGTGGGTATGAACCCTGACAATGTAGTGCTGTGTTGTGGGTATGAACCCTGACAATGTAGTGCTGTTTTGTGGGTATGAACCCTGACAATGTAGTGCAGTGTTGGGGGTATGAACCCTGACAATGTAGTGCCGTGTTTGTTGGGGGTTTGAGCCCTGACATTGTAGTGCTGTGTTGGGGGTATGAACCCTGACAATGTAGTGCCGTGTTTGTTAGGGGTTTGAGCCCTGACAATGTAGTGCCGTGTTTTGTGTATGAACCCTGTCAATGTAGTGCTGTGTTGGGGGTATGAACCCTGACAACCAACGAATAGATTCTCCCACATGATCTTTATGTAAAGTCCGATAACAAAAGTTAAATATCACAGCCGTAATTTCACACTGATGATATTGTTTCCTCCATAGATGTGCCTAAATGGTAAATGTGTTGCTGACCCAAGGGCACCCAATGTGGATGGTAAGTTCCTCTTTATGCAAGAGAGAGAAAGAGAGAGAGAGAGAGAGAGAGAGAGAGAGAGAGAGAGAGAGAGACGGAGTGAGAGAGAGCAGTTGACTGAGAGAAGGGTAGACGGAGGGAGACAGCGAGTGATAATGAAACTGTGAGATGGGATAGAGAGATAGAGTAGAGACGGAAACAAAATAATGAGTGAGCCGAAAGGTGGAGAACGAAAGGCAGATACTGACTCTAAAAGAAATGAACAAACAGAAAAAGCATGTAATAGCTAAGGAGATAGATGCAAAGAGAAACGCGAGAAAGGAATTGGGGAATAAGGGGATAGAGGGATAGAGAGACAGACAGACAGAGAGAGAGAGAGAGAGAGAGATAGAGAGACAGAGAGAGAGAGAGAGTGAGAGAGTGAGTGAGAGAGAGAGACACAGAGAGAGAGAGACCCATATTCTGAATGGGTCAGTCATTAAACACTAGATGATACACACAGTCATGTCTAGAACTCTTCACCCTTATAAGCTTGTGTTCGGTGTTCTGCATGTTACATTCATATTGAGTGTTGTAACAACAACAATAGGAACCTTCCCCTTATCTCTATGTAGTCACAACCCTTAGTTCTATTTGCTGGTACCTCGCCATGACTTCCAGACCGTAATGATTTACTGTAGTAAAGGCACGAATGAGAGACGCAGACCGTGGCGATGGCGAGTATGACTAGCAGCATCAACACGCGTTGAAAGAAAATGTTTACCTCAACTACAGCATTTGATGTCAGGATAATTGTAGTTCACAAGTGTAGTTACTGTGCTTCAGACGCCGAGCCGTCCTTCTCTCCACAATCATGATTTCATTTTTTCCAGTTTCTTATTTCCCCCGTCTATGCAACACGACCCAGAGCATTTTGTTCCAATGAATCTACCTCAATGCCTATATCATTCATGTTCCAGTCGCAGAGATCTTTGTATTGTAGTAGAGTCGACCTTGACATCTTATGCCAATCATTGTTTTACCAAAGATGATATCCTTAGGGACTTGGCATCCACCATCCTCCCAGCGTGTAATGGTCACCTAAGTCTTCGGACACTAGGACCCACTCAGCTAACTCCGTGATGTGTAGCTCGTCAATAACTTGGTTGCTGCTGTCTTCACCACTCAGCTAACTCCGTGACATGTAGCTCGTCAATAACTTGGTTGTTGCTGTCTTCACCATTCAGATAACTCCGTGATGTGTAGCTCGTCAATAACTTGGTTGCTGCTGTCTTCACCATTCAGATAACTACGTGATGTGTAGCTCGTCAATAACTTGGTTGCTGCTGTCTTCACCATTCAGATAACTCCGTGATGTGTAGCTCGTCAATAACTTGGTTGCTGCTGTCTTCACCACTCAGCTAACTCCGTGACATGTAGCTCGTCAATAACTTGGTTGTTGCTGTCTTCACCATTCAGATAACTGCATGACACGTAGCTAGTAATTACCTTACTTCTGTCTTCACCACTCATGTTGCTACTGTCTTCACCACTCAGGTTGCTGCTATCTTCACCACTCAGGTTGCTCCTATCTCCACCACTCAGGTTGCTCCTGTCTTCACCACTCAGGTTGCTCAGGTCTTCACCACTCAGGTTGCTCCTATCTTCACAACTCATGTTGCTCCTATCTCCACCACTCAGGTTGCTCCTATCTCCACCACTCAGGTTGCTCCTATCTCCACCACTCAGGTTGCTCCTATCTTCACCACTCATGTTGCTCCTATCTCCACCACTCAGGTTGCTCCTATCTCCACCACTCAGGTTGCTCCTATCTTCACCACTCATGTTGCTGCTATCTTCACCACTCAGGATGCTCCTATCTCCACCACTCAGGTTGCTCCTATCTTCACCACTCAGGTTGCTCAGGTCTTCACCACTCAGGTTGCTCATATCTTCACCACTCAGGTTGATCATATCTTCACCACTCAGGTTGCTCCTATCTCCACCCCTCAGGTTGATCCTATCTTCACCACTCAGGTTGCTCCTATCTCCACCACTCAGGTTGCTCCTATCTCCACCACTCAGGTTGATCCTATCTTCAACACTCAGGTTGCTCCTATCTCCACCACTCAGGTTGCTCCTATCTTCACTACTCAGGATGCTCCTATCTTCACCACTCAGGTTGATCCTATCTTCACCACTCAGGTTGCTCCTATCTTCACCTCTCAGGATGCTCCTATCTCCACCACTCAGGTTGCTCCTATCTTCACCACTCAGGATGCTCCTATCTTCACCACTCAGGATGCTCCTATCTCCACCACTCAGGTTGCTCCTATCTTCACCACTCAGGTTGCTCTTATCTTCACCACTCAGGTTGCTCAGGTCTTCACCACTCAGGATGCTCCTATCTTCACCACTCAGGTTGCTCCTATCTTCACCACTCAGGCTGCTCCTATCATCACCACTCAGGTGACTGCGTGACATGTAGCTAGAAAATAACTTGCTTCTCTTTTAACCACTCAGATAACTGCGTGACATGTAGCTAGTAAATAACTTGCTCCTGTCTTCACCACTCAAGTAACTGCGTGACATGTAATTGTAAATAACTTGTTCCTGTCTTAACTGCTCAGGTAATTGCGTGACATGTAGCTAGTAAATAACTTGCTCCTGTCTTCACCACTCAAGTAACTGCGTGACATGTAATTGTCAATAACTTGTTCCTGTCTTAACTGCTCAGGTAACTGCGTGACATGTAGCTAGTAAATAACTAGGTGATATGTAGCTAGTAAATAACTTGCTCCTGTTTTCACCACTCAGATAACTGCGTGACATGTAGCTAGTAAATAACTTGCTCATGTCTTCACCACTCAAGTAACGGCGTGACATGTAGCTAGTAAATAACTTGCTCCTGTTTTCACCACTCAGATAACTGCGTGACATGTAGCTAGTAAATAACTTGCTCATGTCTTCACCACTCAGGTAACTGCGTGATATGTAGCTAGTAAATAACTTGCTCCTGTCTTCACCACTCAGGTAACTGCGTGATATGTAGCTAGTAAATAACCTGCTCCTATCTTCACCACTAAGGTAACAGCGTGACATGTAGCTAGTAAATAACTACGTGATATGTAGCTGGTAAATAACTTGCTCTTGTCTTCATCACTCAGGTAACTGCGTGACATGTAGCTAGTAAATAACTAGGTGATATGTAGCTAGTAAATAACTTGCTCCTGTCTTCATCACTCAGGTAACCGCGTGACATGTAGCTAGTAAATAACTTGTTTCTATCTTCACCACTCAGGTAACTGCGTGACATGTAGCTAGTAAATAACTTGTTCCTATCTTCACCACTCAGGTAACTGCGTGACATGTAGCTAGTAAATAACTTGCTCCTATCTTCACCACTCAAGTAACTGCGTGACATGTAATTGTAAATAACTTGTTCCTGTCTTAACTGCTCAGGTAACTGCGTGACATGTAGCTAGTAAATAACTTGCTCCTATCTTCACCACTCAGGTAACTGCGTATTCGGGGACCAGCCTGGAGTTGCATTTGAGGACAAGACTTGTCCAGTGTTTATCGAGAACTTCAGCGGCTACTGCTACCAGGAAGTGGTCAGAAATCGCTGCTGTGGCTCTTGTCAGAAAAAATACAGCAAGATTTCCGGTAAGTGAACATTGGCATCATTTAACTATGACTGGTTAGACAGTTGATTGTAAGTGAACACTGACAGCACTGAACTATGACTGGTTATACAGTTGACTGAAATTGAACACTGACAGCACTAAACTATGACTGGTTAAACAGTTGACTGTAATTGAATACTGACAGCACTAAACTATGACTGGTTAAACTGTTGACTGTAGGTGAATACAGATGGCACTAAACTATGATTGGTTAAACAGTTGACTGTAAGTTAAGTAGTGGCAGCAATAAACTATGACTGGTTAAACAGTTGACTGTAAGTAAGTACTGACAGCACTAAACTCTGACTGGTGCAACAGTTGACTGTAAGTTAAGTAGTGGCAGCAATAAACTATGACTGGTTAGACAGTTGACTGTAAGTAAGTACTGACAGCACTAAACTATGACTGGTTCAACAGTTGACTGTAAGTTAAGTAGTGGCAGCACTAAACTATGACTGGTTCAACAGTTGACTGTAAGTAAGTACTGACAGCACTAAACTATGACTGGTTCAAGTTAAGTAGTGGCAGTTGACTGTAAGTTAAGTAGTGGCAGCACTAAACTATGACTGGTTCAGCAGTTGACTGTAAGTTGACTGGCAGCACTAAACTATGACTGGTTCAGCAGTTGACTGTAAGTTAAGTAGTGGCAGCACTAAACTATGACTGGTTCAGCAGTTGACTGTAAGTTAAGTACTGGCAGCACTAAACTATGACTGGTTCAGCAGTTGACTGTAAGTTAAGTAGTGGCAGCACTAAACTATGACTGGTTCAGCAGTTGACTGTAAGTTAAGTACTGGCAGCACTAAACTATGACTGGTTCAGCAGTTGACTGTAAGTTAAGTAGTGGCAGCACTAAACTATGACTGGTTCAGCAGTTGACTGTAAGTTAAGTAGTGGCAGCACTAAACTATGACTGGTTAGACAGTTGACTCTAAGTAAGTACTGACAGCACTAAACTATGACTGGTTCAACAATTGACTGTAGCAGCAATAAACTATGACTGGTTCAGCAGTTGACTGTAAGTTAAGTACTGGCAGCACTAAACTATGACTGGTTCAGCAGTTGACTGTAAGTTAAGTACTGGCAGCACTAAACTATGACTGGTTCAGCAGTTGACTGTAAGTTAAGTAGTGGCAGCACTAAACTATGACTGGTTCAGCAGTTGACTGTAAGTTAAGTACTGGCAGCACTAAACTATGACTGGTTCAGCAGTTGACTGTAAGTTAAGTAGTGGCAGCACTAAACTATGACTGGTTCAGCAGTTGACTGTAAGTTAAGTACTGGCAGCACTAAACTATGACTGGTTCAGCAGTTGACTGTAAGTTAAGTACTGGCAGCACTAAACTATGACTGGTTCAGCAGTTGACTGTAAGTTAAGTTAGTACTGGCAGCACTAAACTATGACTGGTTCAGCAGTTGACTGTAAGTTAAGTACTGGCAGCACTAAACTATGACTGGTTCAGCAGTTGACTGTAAGTTAAGTACTGGCAGCACTAAACTATGACTGGTTCAGCAGTTGACTGTAAGTTAAGTACTGGCAGCACTAAACTATGACTGGTTCAGCAGTTGACTGTAAGTAAGTACTGACAGCACTAAACTATGACTGGTTCAGACTGTAAGTAAGTTGACTGCACTAAGTGGTAACTGTAAGTAAGTACTGTATGACTGGTTCAAGTGACTGTGACTGGCCCCCAGTACTGCAGTACTGCAGCACTAAACTACTGACTGGTTCACAGTTGACTAAGTTAACTGGCACTAAACTATGACTGGTTCAGCAGTTGACTGTAAGTTAAGTACTGGCAGCACTAAACTATGACTGGTTCAGCAGTTGACTGTAAGTTAAGTACTGGCAGCACTAAACTATGACTGGTTTTGACAGCAGTAAACTGACTGTAAGTTAAAGTACTGGCAGCACTAAACTATGACTGGTTCACAGTTGACAGTAAGTACTGACAGCACTAAACTATGACTGTTTCAAGTTACTGTAAGTAAGTACTGACAGCACTAAACTATGACTGGTTAGACAGTTGACTGTAAGTAAGTACTGGCAGCACTAAACTATGACTGGTTAGACAGTTGACTGTAAGTAAGTACTGACAGCACTAAACTATGACTGGTTCAACAGTTGACTGTAAGTAAGTACTGACAGCACTAAACTATGACTGGTTAGAGAGTTGACTGTAAGTAAGTACTGACAGCACTAAACTATGACTGGTTCAACAGTTGACTGTAAGTAAGTACTGACAGCACTAAACTATGACTGGTTCAACAGTTGACTGTAAGTTAAGTACTGGCAGCACTAAACTATGACTGGTTCAGCAGTTTGACTGACTGTAAGTAAGTACTGACAGCACTAAACTATGACTGGTTCACAGTTGACTGTAAGTAAGTAACAGCACTAAACTATGAACTGGTTCAGACAGTTGACTGTAAGTAAGTACAGCACTAAACTATGACTGGTTCAGCAGTTGACTGTAAGTAAGTACTGGCAGCACTAAACTATGACTGGTTCACAGTTGACTGTAGCACTAAACAGCACTAAACTATGACTGGTTCAGCAGTTGACTGTAAGTTAAGTACTGACAGCACTAAACTATGACTGTTTCAGACAGTTGACTGTAAGTTAAGTAGTGGCAGTTGGTTCAGCAGTTGACTGTAAGTTAAGTAGTGGCAGCACTAAACTATGACTGGTTAGACAGTTGACTGTAAGTAAGTACTGACAGCACTAAACTATGACTGGTTCAACAGTTGACTATAAGTTAAGTAGTGGCAGCACTAAACTATGACTGGTTCAACAATTGACTGTAAGTAAGTAGTGGCAGCACTAAACTATGACTGGTTCAGCAGTTGACTGTAAGTTAAGTACTGGCAGCACTAAACTATGACTGGTTCAACAGTTGACTGTAAGTAAGTACTGACAGCACTAAACTATGACTGGTTCAACAGTTGACTGTAAGTAAGTACTGACAGCACTAAACTATGACTGGTTAGACAGTTGACTGTAAGTTAAGTACTGGCAGCACTAAACTATGACTGGTTCAGCAGTTGACTGTAAGTAAGTACTGGCAGCACTAAACTATGACTGGTTCAACAGTTGACTGTAAGTTAAGTAGTGACAGCACTAAACTATGACTGGTGCAACAGTTGACTGTAAGTTAAGTACTGGCAGCAATAAACTATGACTGGTTAGACAGTTGACTATAAGTTAAGTACTGGCAGCACTAAACTATGACTGGTTCAGAACTATGACTGACAGCACTAAGTGTGGCACTATGACTGGTTCAGTAAGTACTGGCAGCACTAAACTATGACTGGTTCAGCAGTTGACTGTAAGTAAGTACTGACAGCACTAAACTATGACTGGTTCACACAGTTGACTGTAAGTTAAAGTACTGGCAGCACTAAACTATGACTGGTTCAAACAGTTGACTGTAACTGACAGCACTAAACTATGACTGTACACAGTGACTGTAAGCAGCACTAAACTATGACTGTAAGCAATTACTGAGCAGTTGACTGTAAGTAAGTACTGACAGCACTAAACTATGACTGGTTCAACAGTTGACTGTAAGTATGTACTGACAGCACTAAACTATGACTGGTTCAACAGTTGACTGTAAGTATGTACTGACAGCACTAAACTATGACTGGCTAGAGAGTATACTGTAAGTAAGTACTGACAGCACTAAACTATGACTGGTTCAACAATTGACTGTAAGTAAGTACTGACAGCACTAAACTATGACTGGTTTAATAGTTGACTGTTAGTAAGTACTCACAGCACTAAACTATGACTGGTTCAACAGTTGACAGTTAGTAAGTACTGACAGCACTAAACTATGACTGGCTAGAGAGTTGACAAGGACATCCTAGATTTAACTACCAGTGGTATAGCGTCACGTCATTGTGAATATTCAACGTCTGCGATACAGGTCGATTATTCTAAGTGATACTGACACCACGTTTTCAGTGTCACTGACACCACGCTCTCAGTGTCACTGACACCACGCTCTCAGTGTCACTGACATCATGTTCTTAGTGTCACTGACATCATATTCTTAGTGTCACTGACATCATGTTCTTAGTGTCACTGACATCATGTTCTTAGTGTCACTGACATCATATTCTTAGTGTCACTGACATCATGTTCTTAGTGTCACTGACATCATGTTATTAGTGTCACTGACACAATGTTCTTAGTATCACTGACATCATATTCTTAGTGTCACTGACATCAAGTTCTTAGTGTCACTGACATCAAGTTCTTAGTGTCACTGACATCATGTTCTTAGTGTCACTGACATCATGTTCTTAGTGTCACTGACATCATGTTCTTAGTATCACTGACATCATGTTCTTAGTGTCACTGACACAATGTTCTTAGTGTCACTGACATCATATTCTTAGTGTCACTGACATCATGTTCTTAGTTTCACTGACATCATGTTCTTAGTGTCACTGACACAATGTTCTTAGTGTCACTGACATCATGTTCTTAGTGTCACTGACATCATGTTCTAAGTGTCACTGACATCATGTTCTTAGTGTCATTGACATCATGTTCTTAGTGTCACTGACATCATATTCTTAGTGTCACTGACATCATGTTCTTAGTGTCACTGACATCATGTTCTTAGTGTCACTGACATCATATTCTTAGTGTCACTGACATCATGTTTTTAGTGTCACTGACATCATGTTCTTAGTGTCACTGACATCATGTTCTTAGTGTCACTGACATAATGTTCTAAGTGTCACTGACATCATGTTCTTAGTGTCACTGACATCATGTTCTTAGTGTCACTGACACCATGTTCTAAGTGTCAATGACAAGATGTTCTAAGTGTCACTGATGTCATGTTTTTAGTGTTGTTTAGACAATGAGTTGACTTCTGGGGTAGGATATTGATGACCTACTGAATGCTTGAGCATCGATATCAGTTAGAGAAGAAAGGAAAACGCAAACACACCGAACAACGAAAAAGTGAGCACACAGAAATAAGGCAAGTATAAAGAGGCAGGATGTAATGAACAGGAAAGAATTCAGACAAACAAGACTGGGAGAAGGGAAGAAAATGGAGGAATATAACATAGGTTTGTACTAACCTCTGCGCGTTTAGATTAAACACAAACACGTTATTCACACAGACTGGGATATATAGACATGTCTGTTATTGACAGTCAGACTGCGATGTTCAGAAGTGTCTCTTACTGACACAGTTTGACTGGATGTATAGAAGTGTATTAAAGTGTCCAGTACCATTTGTTACTGACACGAATGGTGTTGAAGTGTTATTGTTCTCAATGCTGAAAATGTTCTTTGCCGTACAGGATGTGAATATGGCGACACAGTGCGGGGATGCAAAGACACAACATGCACCCGAGCCAGCAGCAACACCCTGAAGCAGTGTTGTGGAACGTGCAAATATGGCAGTCCCAAGGCATCCACCCAGACTCGAACGGCCGCCAGTCAGACCAAACCACCAACATACCCGGCAGTCACACAAGCAAGGACAACTCCTGTTCCAGTAACAACAAACCCAGGTAAGAACACAGTTGTCTGTCTTGATTACTTCTGGCTGTGCACTGGAAACATCAGTCGATAGTGGCTTCCAAACGGCAGGGTTCGATTCTCTAAAGGGTGGCTTCCAGACGACCAGGGTTCGATTCTCTAAAGGGTGGCTTCCAAACGGCCGGGTTCGATTCTCTAAAGGGTGGCTTCCAAACGGCCAGGGTTCGATTCTCTAAAGGGTGGCTTCCAGACGGCCCAGGTTTGATTCTCTAAAGGGTGGCTTCCAGACGGCCGGGTTCGATTCTTTAAAGGGTGGCTTCCAGACGGCCGGGTTCGATTCTTTAAAGGGTGGCTTCCAGACGGCCCAGGTTTGATTCTCTAAAGGGTGGCTTCCAGACGGCCGGGTTCGATTCTTTAAAGGGTGGCTTCCAGACGGCCCAGGTTTGATTCTCTAAAGGGTGGCTTCCAGACGGCCGGGTTCGATTCTTTAAAGGGTGGCTTCCAGACGGCCCAGGTTTGATTCTCTAAAGGGTGGCTTCCAGACGGCCCGGGTTCGATTCTCTAAAGGGTGGCTTCCAGACGGCCCGGGTTCGATTCTCTAAAGGGTGGCTTTAAAAAAAATGTGACTTCGAGGTCAACTCAGCCTAAAATGTATACTATAAAATATATTTGGAAGTAAAGGTGGTCGGGTAACCACACCAAGATCCGAGTAATATTTGACTAGTGTCAGTGCAGCAGGGCGTGAAAACGGCTCTGTCCCGTGTTTTAAAGTGCTCGAATGGTTGCATCTGTGTCTGATCTGTAGGAGTTGTGCTAGGTGATTATTTAACTGAAGATCTTCGCATCTTGATGTGTTGCGGTGTGTGCAGTACTAAGTCAGTACAACACTGCCATGTTGTATACCGGATGCTGCCTTGATGTAGTAGCCAGATGCTCACCTGCGGGTCGGGAGGTTCTAGTCCCGACAGAGCCGACATTTTCTAAAAAATGATCTGCCCTCAGGTCGACTTAGCCTTAAATGCGCACCAGGTAAACGTCCTGGGAAGTAAAGACGGCCGGCGTCATGCTGACCACCTCGCTCGCCCACTAGGTGCCGATCAGTGTATAAAATACAGGTCTTGCCCGGTAAGGTCAACACACCCACAGGCTAGACAAAGGTTCTTTACCTTACACGTCAAATCGTTAACACTTTCGTGTCATGTAATGGATATGTACAGAAAGTTCTTTAGGGACAAGTCGACCGGTCTGGTCTGCATCACGTGATCCGACTGACTGACTGACTTTCTACCCCACCACGGCATCACACAAACGATGAACTGACTGACTGACTTTCTACCTCACCAGGACTTCACACAAGCGATAAACACCCGATGACACAAAGTGCCACCATACGGATGAGGGTCGCCGTAGAGAGGTCTCAGAAACCGCGTTCAGACATTTGGCCATATTTATGGCCTGCCTATATTGCGGCCCCCGGCAAAAGCTAGGGTGGGGCTTCAAATAAAAAATTTCATCCTGAAAAGGACGATAGAGGGTGGTATGTTAAGTGATAAATACCCGATGACAAAGTGCCACCATGTGAATGGGGATAGCCGTGGAGAGGTCTCAGAAACTGCGTTCAGGTAATTGGCCATTTTTATGGCCTGCCTATATTGCGGCCCCTGGCAAAAGCCAGTGTGGGGCTTCAAATAACAAAAAGTGTCGTCCTGAATAGCTGAATAGGAGAAAACACCTTATCTTGTGATCCGTCGAGCACCATTTGCTAGACGATTCTGGAAAATAAGAAGGGCTCTTGACTTGTCTCCCCTTCTAGTGGACATAGAACCAGATTTTACATGTAGGACATAAATAACAGATGTGGCTAGCTCTTGACTTGTCTCCCCTTCTAGTGGACATAGAACCAGATTTTACATGTAGGACATAAGTAACAGATGTGGCTAGCTCTTGACTTGTCTCCCCTTCTAGTGGACATAGAACCAGATTTTACATGTAGGACATAAATAACAGATGTGGCTAGCTCTTGTCTCCCCTTCTAGTGGACATAAAACCAGATTTTACATGTAGAACATAAGTAACAGATGTGGCTAGCACTTGACTTGTCTCCCCTTCTAGTGGACATAGAACCAGATTTTACATGTAGGACAAAAGTAACAGATGTGGCTAGCTCTTGACTTGTCTCCCCTTCTAGTGGACATAGAACCAGATTTTACATGTAATACATTAGTAACTAGCCCTTGACTTCTCTTCCATTCTAGTAGACATGGAACCAGATTTTACTTGTAGGACATTAGTAACTAGCGCTTGACTTGTCTCCCTTTTTAGTAGACATGGAACCAGATTTTACATGAGGACATAAGTAACAGATGTGGCTAGCCCTTGACTTGTCTCCCCTTTTAGTGGACATAGAACCAGATTTTACATGTAGGACATAAGTAACAGATGTGGCTAGCCCTTGACTTGTCTCCCCTTCTAGTGGACATAGAACCAGATTTTACATGTAGGACATAAGTAACAGATGTGGCTAGCTCTTGACTTGTCTCCCCTTCTAGTGGACATAGAACCAGATTTTACATGTAGGACATAAGTAACAGATGTGGCTAGCCCTTGACTTGTCTCCCCTTCTACTAAAGTACCAGATTTTACATGAGGACATAAGTAACAGATGTGATTAGCCCTTGACTTGTCTCCCCTTCTACTAGACAGAGAACCATATTTTACATGTAGGACATAAGTAACAGATATGGCGAGCTTTGCCTTCCAGTCCCCTCCAAGTGACTGTGGCTAATTTGTACAATAATGTAAGGCATAGAGAGATTGTACTTTGATGTAAGGCATAGAGAGATTGTACATTAATGTGAATATATGATGGACAGTCTGACATCATGGCATGGAAAATAATCTGTGTCAGAGTTGTTTGAAAGTACTTGATACACAAGGGTGGTGTTGAACATAAGTACGAACGCCACACAACCTGGACGTTGAGAAGAACTCCAAAAACCGTTATCACACATTCTTACAATATTTTTGTAAACAAGTTATAATTTTACCGATTGCTCCGGTAATAATCTGTCACTTCAGTCAGATGGATGCCTGTCATGGAACCTGCACAACGGGCAGGCGGACACTCGTCGTCGTTTTCTGATACACTATTACATGATCAGAGGGAGCATGGTATTTTCGGGTTGCTTAGTTTGTTCAGTCCACACTCCCAAACCTACTCCAAACATACCCCAAACCTACTCCAAACCTACTCCAAACCTACCCCAAACCTACCCCCAAACCTACTCCAATCCTACCCCAAACCTGCTCCAAACCTACTCCAGTCAGAGGCAGACAGCTGGCTCCGAACTATCGGGTCCATAAGAGACTCAGTATCTGATCAATGTTCCTACTATTCAAACAAGAACAATAGAAAGTTACAAACTGATCATTACGGTCTAAAGAGAATGATACAGCTGGGAGGGAGACCTAGTGGACACTGTTCACTCAGACGAGAGAATGATACAGCTGGGAGGGAGACCTAGTGGACACTGTTCACTCAGACGAGAGAATGATACAGCTGGGAGGGAGACCTAGTGGACCCTCTACACTCAGTGGAGAGAATCATACAGCTGGGAGGGAGATTTGGTTAAGACACTACACTCAGAGGAGAGAATGATACAGCTGGGAGAAAGATTTGGTCAACACACTACACTCAGTGGAGAGAATAATACAGCTGGGAGGGAGATTTGGTCGACATTCTACACTCAGAGGAGAGAATGATACAACTGGGAGGGAGATTCGGTCGACATTCTACACTCAGAGGACAAGCAAGACGGACATATTATAAAACTGATACGATCGGAATGGGAACTCTTATCTGGCTGCTGAAGTGAATGATGGAGCTCTTTTGGGAGTGTCTCTAGTGGTGTGATGTCTGGTCGTAGCTTAACACTAAATTAGTCCATAGTGCTTATATACTCTACACCGTAGAAAGATCAAACAGGCAGAACGTTCTCAATATATTAGGTCATTACATCATGAGCTGAGTTGTGGGTTTCCATTCCATTACCATTTTCTGCCCCTCCCCTTGTCCTCCACTTTAATACGGAATCGTCATTCCTATTGGCATTTTCAACGATTTTCCCACTCGCTTGTGTAACCACGTCTTTCCCACTCGCTTGTGTAACCACGTCTTTCCCACTCGCTTGTGTAACCACGTCTTTCCCACTCGCTTGTGTAACCACGTCTTTCCCACTCCCTTGTGTAATCGCATCTTCCCCCCGTCTTGATGTCACTAACATCATGCGTCTGAATGGCTACTTTTTCATTCCTATGGTAAAATAATATCTCCATCTATCTATGTTGTTCTCTCCATAAATCTTTCTAATTTTTGTGTGTGTTCATTTATACTCCATCTTTATCATTAAGACAACTCAACTTAAATAAATGAAAATTTAAAACCACCACTCTTTGAAATACTGAACTATATTCTGTTTCTCTGTGCCAGGTGCCAACACAACGTGCATTGACAACCCAAATACGAGAATAGGATCCCATAACTGTTCACTCGTGAAACAGCTGTCCTATCTGTGCTGCATACAACAGTTGCGAGACGCCTGCTGCCAAAGCTGTAAAAGCAACAAAATTTGTAGGTTCTAGCCTGCTGGGGATTGATCAAAGAGACAGACCTGCGGGCTTGATCGCTTGTCCTGGAGTCTTTTGGCTGCTCCGTTTGGGAATCCGAACGTGATTTTTTGGGGTTACATGGTATATTATTTGATAGGAAGTTAAGACAGACAGACATTCAGATGTACATTTGAGACCATCTATTTATCTCTGAACCTCTCTTCAAATGTATGTCTGACACACAGCCTGGTATAGAAACAAATATGATGTTAAGTGAAAGTGCATAATGAGTAGAAAACAGCTGAACGAATGGAGACACCAGGAAAGGAAGAGTGCAACTAATCAAGACAGACAATTGCATGTGTGTAGAAATGTGTGTTTATCTAGATTCACTTTTTCTTTACACCCTCCCCCTCTCCTCCCCCCCCCCATCCTTTTCGTTTTGAATAGCTGCTACTTTGCCACATTATTAATTTGACGATTCCTCCTACTTATATTTCCATCTTCTTTTGCCAGTTGTCACGATCTGTGTTAGCTGTCACGATCTGGGCCAGTGGTCACGATCTGGCCAGTGGTCACGATCTGGGCCAGTGGTCACGATCTGGGCCAGTTGCCACAATCTGGGCCAGTGGTCACGATCTGTGCCAGTTATCACGATCTGTGCCAGTTGTCACAATCGGTGCCAGTTGTCACGATCTGTGCCAGTTGTCACGATCTGTGTCAGTTGTCACAATCTGTGCCAATTGTCACGATCTGTGGCCAGTTGTCACGATCTGTGCCAGTTGTCACGATCTGTGCCAGTTGTCACGATCTGTGTCAGTTGTCACGATCTGTGGCCAGTTGTCCCTTCTGTCGTGACTGCCGTCTCCAGATTTGAGTAACACTGATTTAATGTCCACGAAGACGACTTTTTGCTTCACATTTCTACATCTGTAGTACCTGCCCACGGTATGAATGCCGGCTTTCAACATCTTTACACAGTTAGATGTCTGTGACCTCTCAACTGTGTCTCACAACTACACTTATTTTGTTTGTTTGTTGAGCTAAGCACAAGACATCATTCTCGTGGCCTCTGCCGTGAACTATGAGATAGCACCAGAGAAACATATCTAAATTTTGCCGATGAAATCCTGTTTGTTCACTCATTTCTTTTCACGTCCTGCTCTGAATGAAAATATCTTTACACAAATCCAGCTGGTTCATTTGAATATTATGCATTATGAACATTGAAAAATATAAACACTAAATAAAAACTGCTGAAGTGGAATAAGAAAAAGCCACTACCATAGTTTAAAGGACATAGCAAACCAAACCAGACGTCAGTTTAAAGGACATAGCCAACCAGACGTCAGTTTAAAGGACTTAGCCAACTAGACGTGCCAATATTCAGGTGTGCCAGAAACCTCTTGTGAATGTCTCTGTGATATATTTAAAATATTCACAATGATTTCCTCACAAGATTGCGTCTGCGTTTGCGTGTCTTTATTAGCTGACTGTATCAGACGTACGTCACATTTCATGGACATTCTATATGTCTATGTTTGTGTCTATTTATTTGGTCTCTACATAAGACATACATCACACTTTTCATTGACATTCCATACGTCTATGTTTGTATGTCTTTATTTGGTCTCTACATAAGACATATATCTCATTTTATAGACATTCCATACGTCTTTGTTTGTATGTCTTTATTTGGTCTCTACATAAGACATATATCCCATTTTATAGACATTCCATACGTCTATGTTTGTATGTCTTTATTTGGTCTCTACATAAAACACATCACATTTCATTAACATTTCATGCGTCTCAGTAACCTGGTGATTACATTTACCTTAACCGAGTGGTTACTTTGAGTCAATGCTTTGGAAGACACAAGGGACATGGTGACTTTAGGATTGCCTGGTAGGTCATGAGTGAATATCACACACGTTTCTGAGCAGGGGTATGTAGTCTGGTCTGAGTGGTCAACCCTCGTGTGGTCAGTATGTGTCCAAGAGAACAGGCCTGGCAACACAGCGCTAGCTTGCCTTGAGTCATATCTGGCAACACAGACCCAGCTTGCCTTGATGTCATCTCTGGCAACACAGCCCCAGTCTGCCTTGATGTCATCTCTGGCAACACAGCCCCAGCCTGCCTTGATGTCATCTCTGGCAACACAGCCCCAGCCTGCCTTGATTTCTGTCATCTACATTGACTTGTCACAGAATTGTCATAATATCTACACGTTAATCCACTATTCCCCTGATTTTATCATGGTTTTATTTTCAATTGAACCCCTGTGATCTAATTTTATTTTTGCAAACCAATCCATTGTGCATTAATTTTAACACACGTTAAGTCCAATCTGTCTTATGTAAGTTTTATCATGATATGTTCATATCAATGTACGAGCATTAATTTTATCATAATATGTTCATATGTATTATGCCCTTATTTTATTCTAATTTGGTCAGATCAATCCTTTCTGCATTAATTTTATCATAACGTATTCAGGTCAATCCATGGTGTCTAAATGTATTATGTTTTCAAATCAATCCTTTCTGCTTTATTCTGTCATCCGAGCACCAACAGCATGCCTGTGTAAAAAATTCACAGTGTGTCGACAACTGTGATAACATTCACTCACTCCTCTGTACTCAGTGTGTCGAGCTGTGATAACATTCACTCACTCACCTGTACTCTAAGTGTGTCGACAACTGTGATAACATTCACTCACTCCTCTGTACTCAGTGTGTCGAGCTGTGATAACATTCACTCACTCACCTGTACTCTAAGTGTGTCGACAACTGTGATAACATTCACTCACTCCTCTGTACTCAGTGTGTCGAGCTGTGATAACATTCACTCACTCACCTGTACTCTAAGTGTGTCGACAACTGTGATAACATTCACTCACTCACCTGTACTCATAAGTGTGTCGACAACTGTGATAACATTCACTCACTCACCTGTACTCATAAGTGTGTCGACAACCGTGAAAACATTCACGCACTCCCCTGTACTCATAAGTGTGTCGACAACTGTGATAACATTCCCTCACTCACCTGTACTCATCACCTTTGAAGAATTTCACCTGCCCTTTGGCAGTTCGCGGGTTTCCGGTGTTTTAAATGCATTTTATCATTTTCTGATTTACAAAAATAATGCAAACAATTCAATAAATGTTTAATGATTCTATTTCGTCAGTTGTTTTATTATGCTTTATGTGACCATTGGTATGTCTGTTGTCTTATTGTGCTTTATGTGACCATTGGTGTGTCTGTTGTCTTTTTGTACTTTATGTGACCATTGGTGTGTCTGTTGTCTTATTGTACTTTATGTGGAAATTGGTATATCTGTTGTCTTATTGTACTTTATGTGGAAATTGGTATATCTGTTGTCTTATTGTACTTTATGTGGCCATTGGTGTGTCTGTTGTCTTATTGTGCTTTATGTCACCACTGGTGTGTCTGTTGTCTTATTGTGCTTTATGTGACCACTGGTGTGTCTGTTGTCTTATTGTACTTTATGTGGCCGTTGGTGTGTCTGTTGTCTTTTTGTGCTTTATGTGGCCGTTGGTGTGTCTGTTGTCTTATTGTGCTTTATGTGGCCACTGGTGTGTCTGTTGTCTTATTGTGCTTTATGTAACCATTGGTGTGTCTGTTGTCTTTTTGTGCTTTATGTGACCATTGGTGTGTCTGTTGTCTTATTGTGCTTTATGTAACCATTGGTGTGTCTGTTGTCTTTTTGTGCTTTATGTGACCATTGGTGTGTCTGTTGTCTTATTGTGCTTTATGTAACCATAGGTGTGTCTGTTGTCTTATTGTGCTTTATGTAACCATTGGTGTGTCTGTTGTCTTATTGTGCTTTATGTAACCATTGGTGTGTCTGTTGTCTTATTGTGCTTTATGTAACCATTGGTGTGTCTGTTGTCTTATTGTGCTTTATGTGACCATTGGTGTGTCTGTTGTCTTATTGTGCTTTATGTAACCATTGGTGTGTCTGTTGTCTTTTTGTGCTTTATGTGACCATTGGTGTGTCTGTTGTCTTATTGTGCTTTATGTGACCATTGGTGTGTCTGTTGTCTTATTGTGCTTTATGTGACCATTGGTGTGTCTGTTGTCTTATTGTACTTTATGTGACCATTGGTGTGTCTGTTGTCTTATTGTACTTTATGTGGCCATTGGTGTGTCTGTTGTCTTATTGTACTTTATGTGACCATTGGTGTGTCTGTTGTCTTATTGTACTTTATGTGGCCATTGGTGTGTCTGTTGTCTTATTGTACTTTATGTGGCCATTGGTGTGTCTGTTGTCTTATTGTACTTTATGTGACCATTGGCGTGTCTGTTGTCTTATTGTGCTTTATGTGGCCATTGGTGTGTCTGTTGTCTTATTGTGCTTTATGTGGCCGTTGGTGTGTCTGTTGTCTTATTGTGCTTTATGTGACCACTGGTGTGTCTGTTGTCTTTTTGTGCTTTATGTGACCATTGGTGTGTCTGTTGTCTTATTGTACTTTATGTGACCATTGGTGTGTCTGTTGTCTTATTGTACTTTATGTGACCATTGGTGTGTCTGTTGTCTTATTGTACTTTATGTGACCATTGGTGTGTCTGTTGTCTTATTGTACTTTATGTGACCATTTTTGTGTCTGTTGTCTTATTGTTCTTTATGTGACCATTGGTGTGTCTGTTGTCTTTTTGTACTTTATGTCCATTGGTGTGTCTGTTGTCTTATTGTACTTTATGTGACCATTGGTGTGTCTGTTGTCTTATTGTACTTTATGTAACCATTAGTGTGTCTGTTGTCTTATTGTGCTTTATGTGGCCATTGGTGTGTCTGTTGTCCTTCTGTACTTTATGTAACCATTGGTGTGTCTGTTGTCTTATTGTACTTTATGTAACCATTGGTGTGTCTGTTGTCTTATTGTACTTTATGTAACCATTGGTGTGTCTGTTGTCTTATTGTACTTTATGTAACCATTGGTGTGTCTGTTGTCTTATTGTACTTTATGTGACCATTGGTGTGTCTGTTGTCTTATTGTACTTTATGTGACCATTGGTGTGTCTGTTGTCTTATTGTGCTTTATGTGGCCATTGATGTGTCTGTTGTCTTATTGTGCTTTATGTGGCCATTGGTGTGTCTGTTGTCTTTTTGTGCTTTATGTGACCATTGGTGTGTCTGTTGTCTTATTGTGCTTTATGTAACCATTGGTGTGTCTGTTGTCTTTTTGTGCTTTATGTGACCATTGGTGTGTCTGTTGTCTTATTGTGCTTTATGTAACCATTGGTGTGTCTGTTGTCTTATTGTGCTTTATGTAACCATTGGTGTGTCTGTTGTCTTATTGTGCTTTATGTAACCATTGGTGTGTCTGTTGTCTTTTTGTGCTTTATGTGACCATTGGTGTGTCTGTTGTCTTATTGTGCTTTATGTGACCATTGGTGTGTCTGTTGTCTTATTGTGCTTTATGTAACCATTGGTGTGTCTGTTGTCTTTTTGTGCTTTATGTGACCATTGGTGTGTCTGTTGTCTTATTGTGCTTTATGTGACCATTGGTGTGTCTGTTGTCTTATTGTGCTTTATGTGACCATTGGTGTGTCTGTTGTCTTATTGTACTTTATGTGACCATTGGTGTGTCTGTTGTCTTATTGTACTTTATGTGACCACTGGTGTGTCTGTTGTCTTATTGTGCTTTATGTGGCCGTTGGTGTGTCTGTTGTCTTATTGTACTTTATGTGGCCGTTGGTGTGTCTGTTGTCTTATTGTGCTTTATGTGACCACTGGTGTGTCTGTTGTCTTTTTGTGCTTTATGTGACCACTGGTGTGTCTGTTGTCTTATTATGCTTTATGTGACCACTGGTGTGTCTGGTTTTTTACTGTACTTTATGTGACCACTGGTGTGTCTGTTTTCTTACTGTACTCTATGTGACCACTGGTGTGTCTGTTTTCATGGTTTACGCAGCGTTATCATCAGATCGTCATCAAAGTCATAACAGATAGTTTACGCTTCTAATGCGTAGAAAACAGAGGAAAGCCGCAGTTAATCACATACTCACTTTGATATGCAGCAGTAACAAGTACAGAAAGAATTGGTCAGTTAGCAAATAACGCACCAATGCAAACAAGAAGAAACATATACACAGTAAATACCTGAATGTTGTATGGACTAGGTTGGGCGATAAGGTTGAATCTCTGACGCTAACACGATTGCGTGACCCGAAAGTAAAGCTTAGTGAATGCACATTTATGCTGTCTTTACGCTCACGTGTAAGTGGTTCGCCGTAAGGCAACACCGACGAAATAGTTCTTTTCCTCTTTTTCCTCTTCACGAGCAATACCCCCTTAAGAACCACCTCGAAACAAAATAACTCATCTGGCCATAGGCTCTTTAGCAAATACTGGTAATCACACCGGATTATCGCTACACAACATACGATGTTAATAAACTGACTACCCATTATAACACTTAGGATTGGAATGCGGGGGGGGGGGGATGTCTCCGCGGCGAAGTGGTCAAACCGTTTGCCCCGCGCTCTAAAGGTAGTGGGCTCATTTCACGGCAACTCCTTTCAGTTCACGAGTCCAATGTTTACGGAGTTTCACGAGGATCGTCGCCGGAGCTACATAGGTCGTGCTCTGAGCCATATGGGATAAAACCTTGAGCAATGAAATTGATCGTCTCAACTTTACTTCATAAAAACACTCGAATGAGAATACCGTCAAGCTAACACATAATCACAAACTAATGTGTCAGTCACAATTAAAGTTTAAAAATGTTTGAAGTTTGAGCGACGGATCAACTTTCTGGCTCACTGGTGGTAACCCATAAGTGCTCCGTTCTTCTTCTAACTTAAGTCTGAGTCCGAAGAAGCTCAGCATAGTGCACAGGCTCTGTAGCACCGGCGAGGATCCTGAAAAACTTTGGGTAGATTTTGAACTCCAAATTTTGCCCGGCATCGCCGTTAGGCTATCTTTTTTCGATTTCTAACTGCCAAGGGATTTTTTTTTTTCATACGCAACAATGCACACGGGCGTCCGGTCTCACTATCCAGAGACCAGTGGGAATTACTAGAACCCAAAGTCCACGAGAAAAAATCCCAGCCCTTACCGGGGATTGAACCCGAAACCTCTAGCACTCAAGGCGGACACCATTGCCTAGAGACCACGCAGCCCTCTCTATCACAATTCACAACACGCTATCCGTCACTAGGCCTCCAACCAATCCAGCAACCCAAATCTAGCGGTCAGAAAATAGCGTCTTGTCCTGTCTCGGGTAGCTGCGGCAACACCCCAACCCTCCCCCACCCCATCTGGCTTGTGTTTTGTCGGTGGCTCAAAGCTCTATCCGTGGGTCTCTGGTGAACCTTGGAGTGCTTGTTCCACCCTTCATGTTTTCCAATCCTCGTTTCCGTGTGCTTTCAATGCGCAGTCACTGACGCACTCATTGAATACTAGTAAGTCAGTCACTATCATCACCCACAATACGTCCATAGCCACACAGGCTTCTGACAATAGCTCCAGATGTTGGAGTGGGATAGCATTGAGAGAAACTATATTACCAATTGCCTGATTTCTTCTCATTATCTTTGTATTTTAAATACATTTTTTTTTCAACAGTTTTTATATCGTTGCGCTAAATCAGCTTTAACATATCGCCATATTATAAACATCCATGTGTGTCACATAGGGAGGAGCCGTGGCGTAGGCGGCTAGACGCCCGCCTGCGGATTGGAAAGTCGTGGGTTTGCGTCCTAACGTATCAGACTTTTTTCAATAATGACCTTGACTTCAAGGTCGACCCAGCCTTGACGGGATACCAGCTGCAGTGCTGGGAAGTAAAGAGGACCGACATGAATCATCACCCACTAAGTGCCGACTACTGGACGTAAATCTGCTTGAAAAATCACAACAGCGAAAAATGCACGGGTCTGTTCTGCGACGTCTTGACAAGAATATAGAACTAACCATGATGTCTTTTAATGTGGCTTTCAAGTGTCTCTTGATTTAATTTCTCCCAGTAATTCTCTTTTCATTTGTTATCTTTCCAGAATATCCTTATAATCTTCCCCTTGAACTCACAAACCTGTACGTCTAAGGATCACATAAACTCAACGACACCTGCATGAAATTTTCCAAACTTGTCTCACGACAAATGGTATGTGAGTGTACAAACCTAGCACCGATGACATGTGAGTGTACAAACCTAGCACCGATGACATGTGAGTGTACAAACCTAGCACCGATGACATGTGAGTGTACAAACCTAGCACCGATGGTATGTGAGTGTACAAACCTAGCACCGATGGTATGTCAGTGTACAAACCTAGCACCGATGGTATGTGAGTGTACAAACCTAGCACCGATGACATGTGAGTGTACAAACCTAGCACCGATGGTATGTGAGTATACAAACCTAGCACCGATGGTATGTGAGTGTACAAACCTAGCACCGATGACATGTGAGTGTACAAACCTAGCACCGATGGTATGTGAGTGTACAAACCTAGCACCGATGACATGTGAGTGTACAAACCTAGCACCGATGGTATGTGAGTGTACAAACCTAGCACCGATGGTATGTGAGTGTACAAACCTAGCACCGATGACATGTGAGTGTACAAACCTAGCACCGATGGTATGTGAGTGTACAAACCTAGCACCGATGACATGTGAGTGTACAAACCTAGCACCGATGGTATGTGAGTGTACAAACCTAGCACCGATGACATGTGAGTGTACAAACCTAGCACCGATGACATGTGAGTATACAAACCTAGCACCGATGACATGTGAGTGTACAAACCTAGCACCGATGACATGTGAGTGTACAAACCTAGCACCGATGACATGTGAGTGTACAAACCTAGCACCGATGACATGTGAGTGTATACATCGAGAAACTTCTAACGTTTTTTGCCCTAAACATACCGTGATTGACCGTTTACTCATGCTTGGTGACCTTTCACAAGCGCTAGTCTAATTTACAGGGGTGTCAAAATGTGTTGTGTTCGGCGCACTGAGCAGTGTATATTTCCGCCTGTACTTGTTGGTGTGAGCGATCGGTGAGATTGCTTATATTATAGCTTTGTTGTTAAAAATAAAATCCTAACCGGCACAGCTGTGGCGACAGCACCAGCCATGCGGTCGTGAATCCTCACTCTCAAAGACCCCCCTGCCTACACCACAAAAGTGGTATTATAAAGGCAGTCATTGGCAGTTGGCGGTCGGACTTCAAATAAGACTGGGATTTTTCCCAGCTGTCAGCACTGACGAGCGACAAGGAGATCAACAGATTTTTCTGCGGCATGGTGGCTTTTTAGGGGTCCACTGCAAAATGTTAACATTTCTGAAACCACTTGACGTAGGCTGTAATCTGTATTGGGACCTAGGCTGAGGCTGACAACCGAAATTGTAATATCAACATTGGTAACATTTGTGGGGCAGTGTTTGTTTATGAAAGCCTTTGATAGGGTAGATCATGATATTCTCATTAACAAATTAAAAACCTTGAAAACCAACAATAACTTGGTCAAAATAATGCGCTCATTTTGATCTTTTTTTTCTTTTTTTTTGGCCACATATAATACCGACCTTCCATTACATCTTAGTGTAACATGTGATCTGTTTGCTGACGACTGTACAATTTATACTAGCCGTTTTAATTTTAATGAGATGCAAAGTTCTTTACAGAAAGAAGTACATAATCTTTTTAAATGGAGCAATAGCGATCGCATACAAGTTAACATAAATAAAACGAAATCAATGCTTGAAACAATAAGACAAACATTAGCATTGCACAAGCCACCACTTGAGTTTGGCATAGATCAGTTACCTGTTGTTAATGTACCGGAGCACAAAACATTAGGCCTTACAACTGACAATCGTGTTAACTTGGAATTCTCATGTTTGTATCATAACTAAAAAAAAAAAAAAACTTCACAAAAAAATTTCAACAGCTTGCCAAAATTCAGCACTTCCTGGATGAAGATACACGAAAATTGTTTTACGCTTTCTACATCCAAACACTTGTCGACTATTGTTCCACGATCTTGGATGGTTGCGACAAATCTAATGTTCAAAGACTAAATTACCTTCAAAATCGTGCTTTACGCATGGTTTCAGATAGAAAATATGTCGGCAAAAATCCTTTCTATAGTCATCTAAGACTTCTACCTCTGCGTAAACGTTTAATTTGTAACAAAGCTAAATTTATTCATAAAATTGTATCTCAGAATACTCCAAACTTCCTTTTTCAGTAGATTAAATCTAATCATACGAACAGCAAGAGGCTAAATTTATTACATTTACCGAAACTTAGAATAGATTTATTCAGAACAAGTTTAGCATATTCTGCTGCTCATTTATGGAACCAGCTACCACTTGATCTGAAAAATACAAAAAAGTTCCTATTCATTTAACCGCACAATTTTTCATTTCATGATTACAAGTGATTATATGCCACCTTAAATGTAATTACTAATTCATTTTGCATTACTAATTTATAATTCAAAAAGGTGTATATGATATGTATGTGTGTGCGGCATGTACATGTGTGATATGGATTTGTATATGCGTAGGCGTGTTCGTGTATGTATGAGTGTATGTATCGGTAATTGTATAAGTTGTTGCGGGAGTGTGTGCATGTGTGCCTGTATGTCTACATGCACGTGTGACTATGTGTGTGTGTCTATGAGATTGTGTGTGAATATATCTTTGTTTGGGCGAGTCCGTGACTACGCGTCTCTGTGTGTGATGAGTGTGCGTATGGGTGTTTGTTTGTGTGTACGTGCGCCTTGTTGTGCTTGTGTGCGTATCCATGGGTGTGTGTGTGTGTGTGTGTGTCTGCGTGAGTGTCTTCTGTGTGTCTGTGTGTGTGTCTAAGTGTGTCTGTGGTATAAATATCTATGTGTGTGTCTGTGTGTATATGTCTGCGTGCGATTGTCAGTGTGTGTGTGTGTATATATATATATATATATGTGTGTATGCATGTGTGTCTACGTGTGCATGTCTGCCTGTGCGATTGCGTGTGCGTCTCTGCGTATGTTTGTGTTGGTTTGTGTGTATCTTTGTGTCTGCGTGTGTTTGTATTGTGTGTCTGTGGGTGTGTATCTATGTATGTATGTCTGTGCGTCTTTATGAGTGTGTTTGTTTGTGCGCGTGTGTCTGCGTGTATGACTGTATGTATGTATCTGAATGTGTATCTGTGAATGTGTTAGCGTGTTTTGTGTTTTACGCGTATGTGGCTGTGTGTGTGCCTGCGTGTGTGTCTTTGTTGTGATTGTGTGTGTGTGTGTTGGTATGTGTCTGCGTGAATGCCTGTGTATATAGGCGTCTCTGTGTGTATACAGCTGTGTATGTCTCTGTGTGTGTCTGTATAAGTCTGAATGTGTCTCGGTGTGTATTGTCTCTGGGTGTATCTGCATGTGTGTGTGTGCGCACGTGTGTGTGTGCCTGTGTATATGTATGTCTGCATGTGTGTTTGTGAGTCTGTGGGTGTGTGTCTGCGTGTATCTGTGTGTATGTATGTCTGCGTATGCGTTTGTGATTGTCTGTGGATTATGTGTCTGCGTGAGCATCAGCGTGTGTGTGTGTGTCTGCGATTGTGTGTGTGTGTCTGCGAGTGTGTCTGTGGGCGTGTATCTGCGTGTGTTTGTGTGTGTGTGTCTAAGTATGTTTGCGCATGTATGTGTCTCTGTGTGTGTATCTCTCCGTGTGTTTGTGTCGCATGTATGTGTCTCTGTGTGTGTATATCTCTCCGTGTGTTTGTGTCGCATGTATGTGTCTCTGTGTGTGTATCTCTCCGTGTGTTTGTGTCGCATGTATGTGTCTCTGTGTGTGTATCTCTCCGTGTGTTTGTGTCGCATGTATGTGTCTCTGTGTGTGTATCTCTCCGTGTGTTTGTGTCGCATGTATGTGTCTCTGTGTGTGTATCTCTCCGTGTGTTTGTGTCGCATGTATGTGTCTCTGTGTGTGTATCTCTCCGTGTGTTTGTGTCGCATGTATGTGTCTCTGTGTGTGTATCTCTCCGTGTGTTTGTGTCGCATGTATGTGTCTCTGTGTGTGTATCTCTCCGTGTGTTTGTGTCGTATGTATGTGTCTCTGTGTGTGTATCTCTCCGTGTGTTTGTGTCGCATGTATGTGTCTATGTGTGTGTATCTCTCCGTGTGTTTGTGTCGCATGTGTGTGTCTCTGTGTGTGTATCTCTCCGTGTGTTTGTGTCGCATGTATGTGTCTCTGTGTGTGTATCTCTCCGTGTGTTTGTGTCGCATGTATGTGTCTCTGTGTGTGTATCTCTCCCTGTGTTTGTGTCGCATGTATGTGTCTCTGTGTGTGTATCTCTCCGTGTGTTTGTGTGTGTGCACGTATATTTGTTTGTGTGTGTGTGTGTCTGCGTTTGTTTCTGTGGGTGTGTCTTTGTGTGCATGTGTGTATCTGTATGTACGCATGTGTGTTTGTGGAATGTCCGTGTTTGTGTGGGTAGGTAGGGATGGATGTGGGTGAATGGGATGTGTATATGTGTGTGAAGGTATGTGGGTGCGTAGATATGCGTGTTTAAGTGAGTGTGTGGGCATTTGTGTGTGGGTGTGTGTGTGTATCTATGTGTGTCTGTGGTGTATATGTCAATGTGTGTGTGTGTGTGTGTGTGTGTCTGTGTGTATTTTCTGTTTGTGTGTGTGGATGAATGTATGCATGTGTGTCTACATGTGCATGTCTGCCTGTGCGTCTGCGTCTCTGTGTATGTGTCTGTGTGTGTTTGTTTGTGTGTATCTGTGTGTCTGCGTGTGTTTGTATTGTGTTTGTGGGTGTGTATCTATGTATTATGTGCGTCTCTGTGTGTTTGTTTGTGAGTATGTGTGTGTTTGTGCATGTGTGTCTGCGTGTATTACTGTGTGTATGTGTCTACATGTGTCTGTCCATGTTTGCTTGTTTGTGTGTTCTACGCGTATGTATCTGTGTGTGTGCCTGTGTGTGTGTTTGTGTCTTTGTTGTCTTTGCATGTTCCAGTGTGTGTATGTGTGTCTGCGTGAATGCGCGTCTCTGTGTTTATAATTCTGTGTATATCTCTATAAGTGTCTATGTGCATATGTCTGTATGTGCTTGTCTGTGTGTGTCTCTGTGTTTAGTGTCTCTGGGTGTGTCTACATGCGTGTGTATCTGCGTTTGTCTGTGTGTTTGCCTGTGTGTATGAATGTCTGCATATGCATCTGCGTGTGTGTGTCTGTGGTTGTGTGTATTAGTGTGCATATGTCTGTGTGAGCATTAGCGATTGTGTGCTTGTTTGTCCGTCTGCGAGTGTGTCTGTGTGAGTGTATGTGTCTGCATGTGTTTTTGCATGTATGTGTCCGCGCGTGTGTGTGTATACGGGTTAGTGTGTGTGTCGCATGTGTGTGTCTGTGTGTGTTTTTTAGTCTGTGCGCGTATGTCTTTTTGTGTGTTTGTCTGCATGTGTTTCTATGGGTGTGTCTGTGTGTGCATGTGTGTATCTGTATGTATGTAAGTGTGTGTATATGCGTGGGTGTATATGCGTGTTCAAGTGGGGAGGGGGGCGGAGGTATGAGTGCGAGCGCTAGTGTGTGCATGCATTTTACCACACATGCTTTTGTGTTAGTTTTTTTTGGGTTTAATTTTTATATATTTATAATATGCAAATTATCATTTAAATATTACATGCTTATTAAATAAATACAGCTGCAGTGAGAAAGCTGGGTGTTTGAAAGGGCAGAATGTAAGACGAGCCTGCATACCGAATTTTTGACCCTTTGAAAATAAAGTTCGTTCCTTTGTTCGTTAGCTCACTGCGCCCATCTTAACATAACAGCACCGACCTTACATCATATAACTGTGCCCACCTTACAGCATATAACTGTGCCCTCCTAACAGCATATAACTGTGCCCACCTTACATCAAATAACTGTGCCCACCTAACAGCATATAACTGTGCCCTCCTAACAGCATATAACTGTGCCCACCTTACATCACATAACTGTGCCCACCTAACAGCATATAACTGTGCCCTCCTAACAGCATATAACTGTGCCCAACTTACATCACATAACTGTGCCCACCTTACATCACATAACTGTGCCCACCTAACAGCATATAACTGTGCCCTCCTAACAGCATATAACTGTGCCCACCTTACATCACATAACTGTGCCCACCTAACAGCATATAACTGTGCCCTCCTAACAGCATATAACTGTGCCCACCTTACATCACATAACTGTGCCCACCTAACATCACATAACTGTGCCCACCTTACATCACATAACTGTGCCCACCTAACATCACATAACTGTGCCCACCTAACAGCATATAACTGTGCCCTCCTAACAGCATATAACTGTGCCCACCTTACATCACATAACTGTGCCCACCTTACATCACATAACTGTGCCCACCTTACATCACATAACTGTGCCCACCTAACATCACATAACTGTGCCCACCTTACATCATATAACTGTGCCCACCTAACAGCATATAACTGTGCCCAACTTACATCACATAACTGTGCCCACCTTACATCACATAACTGTGCCCACCTAACAGCATATAACTGTGCCCTCCTAACAGCATATAACTGTGCCCTCCTTACATCACATAACTGTGCCCACCTAACATCACATAACTGTGCCCACCTTACATCATATAACTGTGCCCACCTAACAGCATATAACTGTGCCCACCTTACATCACATAACTGTTCCCACCTTACATCACATAACTGTGCCAACCTAACAGCATATAACTGTGCCCACCTTACATCACATAACTGTGCCCACCTTACATCACATAACTGTGCCCACCTTACATCACATAACTGTGCCCACCTTACATCACATAACTGTGCCCACCTAACATCACATAACTGTGCCCTCCTTACATCACATAACTGTGCCCACCTCACATCACATAACTGTGCCCACCTAACATCACATAACTGTGCCCACCTAACATCACATAACTGTGCCCACCTAACATCACATAACTGTGCCCACCTAACATCACATAACTGTGCCCACCTAACATCACATAACTGTGCCCACCTAACATCACATAACTGTGCCCACCTAACATCACATAACTGTGCCCACCTTACATCACATAACTGTGCCCTCCTTACATCACATAACTGTGCCCACCTAACATCATATAACTGTGCCCACCTAACATCACATAACTGTGCCCACCTAACATCATATAACTGTGCCCACCTAACATCATATAACTGTGCCCACCTAACATCATATAACTGTGCCCACCTAACATCATATAACTGTGCCCACCTAACATCATATAACTGTGCCCACCTTACATCATATAACTGTGCCCACCTAACATCACATAACTGTGCCCACCTAACATCACATAACTGTGCCCACCTAACATCACATAACTGTGCCCACCTTACATCATATAACTGTGCCATTCGGAAAGGCTAATGGTATTTTAGCTTTGACAGGTTCCATCGAAACGTAGCATTTGCTTGTCTAGATAATTAGCTTCATAAAAGTGGAAAACCCAAACATAAATATGGGAAACTGATTAATCACTTTTTCCAGAATGTGACAGCTAAGATAAGAAAGACCAAATGGATTCTCTGCAGCTAAACCTGCCTGTTCTCACCTGAAAGTGTCTGTTGTTACCTGGATGCGTTACTTCCCACCAGGACACAATTAAACAATGGAGCAGACGGTACCAAGTTCACAGCACTGACTCCAACACCAAGTGGAGGACGCCATCGCCCATCAACAATGTTGATGTCCTCACACCACAGCTCGGTGTTGGCTCCTGTCAGGCCCGATTGTCAACCTAGTCCTCAATAACAACCAGTAACAGATAATGTTGTCACCTGTTGCATTTTAAATCCAGCTTCGCCAAGAGACGATTTGTGAGCTTCATCCGACTTTTGATACGGCTGCAGTCTTCTCTGATTGTCTGTAAGTATAGGACTCAAGTGTGTCTGCTTTATGTGTCTAGTTTTCTGTCTCTGCGGCGGTGATGACTGTGTCCCCAGACAAGTGGCTGAGTGGAGTTCAGAATCGACACCATAGTACATAAACAGTCAAATAAGCGGACCGTCCCAATATTCAGCAGCCAGCGAAGTGTTCCAGTTCAGATGGCAGCATTAGCAGATTCGTTGTGTGTCTGACTTGCCTTTTTTCTGAATGTTAATTGTAGGCCCCGCACCCACCTCATAGTTCTCCCCAGACCGTGATGATCTAGCACAGTAGTCTCTAACCTTGGTGCCTCAGGAGGTTTCAAGGGGGCCCCAGGAGGTTTTAAGGGAAGTAAGTGCGTCTAGCAATAGTGAAATTGACTGCATTTGGATCATAAATAATTCGTTATATTATTTTAATTCAGTTTTATTATAAATTAGATAAAATGTAGTTTAAACCTGTTTATAAACAAACAGACAAGGACTGTGCCAGTCACAGTGTTATCGCTTGCGTTGTTGCAGAATAACAGTGGAAATATTGCGCAACAATTTGTGCCAACATCAAGTCAACTGCAGGTTACAACAACAGAAACTGTTACTTGAATCGCTACAAGATGGCAACTTTTGGTCTTTCGGTTGCCCCGAGACACTCCCTGGCCTATCATGTTGCTCTCAGCATGGCCTTGTTGTACCTGGCGAATGCCATACCAGGTAGGTTTTCTTTCACGTCAAACATCTCATCGAAATATACCCATTAACGGTTAGGGATGCCTTTTGCTGGTACAAGCTCGTTAGTGACCTCATGACGTAATTGTTGGTTACAGACTTGGCTCTGATGACATAATTGTTGGTTACAGACTTGGTTCTGATGACATAATTGTTGGTTACAGACTTGTCTCCTTAGATCCTTTTGCGATCCCAGAATCCCATTGTTGGGGTTAGGGGCGGCAAGAACAGACCCACTGCTTCCTTAATAAGCATCTTGGAAAAGTCCACTAAGCAGGGGTTTCCTTTGAGGTCGGAGTGCATCTGCCTGAGAAGCAAGGAACCAACAGTCTGCAAATAATTAAACCAGATTTGTTGCGTAAGCAACACTCAGGCACTAGAACAAGACTATAGTCTAGAAGTGGACGAACAATCACCACTTTCCACCGGGACTTACAGCCTGTCGACACACACACACAAGGGAAAGGTGCATAAATGTTTGCATATACATGGCAAGTGATGACACCCTTGTTGGGTCATTGTCAGTTTCATATCCTTTACAGAACTTTATAGAACCAACTCCAGCATTTATTTTGCTTTTAGGGATTTTATATTCAGTAGTGTCATTACAGCCTAAACGGTCGACGCTCGATACTGTTATCGAGATCAACGCAGAGCAGTTTGCAGCCATTTCACCTGTAACTAAAACGATTCGGGTAAAATAGAATTACGAAACAGGTTCGCAGGCCCAAACCACAGACGTCCACTGTTCGGTTTAGCTGATTAGAAACATTCATGCTATCTTTTAACCATTGTGATCTGATTTGTGTTGATCGGTTAATGACCACATATTCTCAGTGGGAGACTATCTCTACATGTTGACGTTCCCTACATGTTGACTATCTCTGCATGTTGACTGTCTCTACATGTTGACTGTCTCTACATGTTGACTATCTCTACATGTTGACTATCTCTACATGTTGACTATCTCTACATGTTGACTGTCTCTACATGTTGACTGTCTCTACATGTTGACTATCTCTACATGTTGACTATCTCTACATGTTGACTATCTCTACATGTTGACTATCTCTACATGTTGACTATCTCTACATGTTGACTGTCTCTACATGTTGACTGTCTCTACATGTTGACTGTCTCTACATGTTGACCATCTCTACATGTTGACTGTCTCTACATGTTGACTATCTCTACATGTTGACTATCTCTACATGTTGACTATCTCTACATGTTGACTATCTCTACATGTTGACTATCTCTACATGTTGATCATCTCTACATGTTGACTATCTCTACATGTTGACCATCTCTACATGTTGACTATCTCTACATGTTGACTGTCTCTACATGTTGACTGTCTCTACATGTTGACTGTCTCTACATGTTGACTATCTCTACATTTTGACCATCTCTATATGTTGACTATCTCTACATGTTGAATATCTCTACATGTTGGCCATCTCTACATGTTGACTATCTCTACATTTTGACCATCTCTATATGTTGACTATCTCTACATGTTGACTGTCTCTACATGTTGACTGTCTCTACATGTTGACTGTCTCTACATGTTGACTATCTCTACATGTTGACCATCTCTACATGTTGACTATCTCTACATGTTGACTATCTCTACATGTTGACTATCTCTACATGTTGACCGTATCTACATATTGACTATCTCTACATGTTGACTATCTCTACATGTTGACTGTCTCCGTCAGTTGTTAACTGATCATATAGATTATGACACAAAATAGCAGTTGACTCTCTCTCTCTCTCTACATTTGACCAGCCGGGCTTAACCAACAGAGTATATATATGTGTACTGGGTCTGTACTAGCAGGCAATCGGTTGCGTTAGAAAAGAAATCATAAAAAATTCAATTTTAAAGATAGAACTGTCATATTTTTTATACATAATGACCATATGATCAAGCTATCACATAAGAAAAACTTGTATAGAATTCAATATATGCATGTGAGATAATATTTTTTTAAAGTGAAAAATTTATTTTTACATATTCAAAATATAGATGTTACTTTGGAAGTATTTCTTTGGAAATGGTACAGCCAAACTCTTTCAACATTAATCTGCACACACACAAATGGTGTGAGTGTAGCCCTTTTTTGGGGGGGGGGGGGGGGGGATAGTAAACATTCAATAGATTTTATGTAAAGCTACCTGAAATTTGCTTTTTGTACGTTTCTGAAAATTAGTTTCGAAATTACTTAAAAACTACCACAATCATGAATTTGGCATTCCTTTAGAATTAGTTACAGCCAGTTATAATGTGAGTAAACATGCAAAACATATTGGTTAGGATTTGATAAAATTAAAACAGGATGAGTATAAAAATTTTTTTACATTTTACAACAAACAACAGTAATTTGTTGGTGAAAATATTCTAGATTTCTACCTCAGTGATTTTTTACCTCCCTGTCAAATAAGGAAATCCTTCGGATTGAGCTTGTACCTACTCTAATTCAAGTTCATTCCTCCTTCTTGCACTTCTGGCTTCCAATGATGCTTCTGTTGCTTTCTTCTGAGAGTTTTTCAGCCGTGACCTGTCAGTAGACAGTAGAGATGAACAATTCTGACGTGAAACGTCCACATAATAGTTACATTGCTACTAGGGGTGCTTCTAGGGTTTTTGCTCCATCATTGAAAATGATGACTGCAATGCCAACTGCAATCTTAACAGCCCCTAATCAATGGTACTTGTGTTTGGGGCAATTTCGCCAAACTGTGCTGTTGATCTATTTGTTAGCGCTCTAGGTGTAGCCACCTAGGCATTTTCTCAACAGGTCAGGGTTCGAGAGATCTCTGAAAACTGGCTTGGTAACATCCACAATTGCTGCAGCAGCGTATTTATATGTGTATAATCTCTTTCTGTGTTGGTAGCGACAACTGCTTTATATGGGCAACAACTAACTTTGCAGAGATTGTGAACAGACTTTTGATCCCTGGACAGCTTTCGAAAATATAGTGCCCAAACAGCCTGTCACATTCCTTTCAAGTCATTCTTATTACCTCTAACAGCATTCCCATAATATTTTTAAATATAATCAATCTGTGTGTCCCTAAGCCTTCCCTCTCCACCAATATTCTTCCCATCTGACAGTTTCTGTCCCTTCCTCCAACAATTCTTGATCTTGCGTAGTCGGGTACCCATTCGTTTTTGTATGTTCCCAAAACATTCTATCTTCACAACAGGCGTGTCAGCGTATTTGAATGAATGAGAGTTTTCAAGCTGTCTTTGTCACCATTTCCAAGCACTTTATATCCTATCATTTATTAGTTTATGATTGCACTTGTGGACAGGCGGCGAAAGATTTATTATTCCACAAAATGTTTGCAAGTCCGAACGGTCACTTCCTGCACAGCACATAGACAAAACAGCTTGCATATTGACTGAGTGTACTTGTAAGCTGTTGTTGTAGTTGACACTTTTTTGACGTTTGGAATGAAAAATGGTCTGTCTTTTACAATTTTGGTTGCTGCACACAAATTTAGATTGACTACCTAGTCCTTGTCTTTCATTCTCAGTAAGTCTGACTTGGTTGTAACAAAAAGCACAAACCAGCTGTGATGAAATCTGATGACATATAATTTCTAAGTCAATAATCCTGTAACCTTCACTGTCACATTTAAGATAACTGTTTATCTCATCACATTCTTCTCCATAAGTCAGAATCAGTTAGAATTTCAACAGGATTCGTTTTCCTTTCGAGTGACACAGAATGTTAGAGCTCGAGTGAGTTGATGAGAATCTTGAACCTTATAGATCTAGAGCTCGATCGATAATAATAGAAGGGAGCGTGTCCCTCAAACAGCTGATGGGGAAGATCTAGATGGTGATAAAGGTTGGAAAAGTAATTTTGTGTCACCAAAAATAGATCTGAATTTCAATGATGAAAGCTAAAACTTTTTCTGCAGTGTCTCTAGGTTTTAACTTACTCTAACCACTTGTTTGCATGTAACTAATATTTTTGTATATCATGTTGGTCTTTTTTTTCCGCACTAATGCCCAATAGATCAGGCATAAGGGACAGTTAGGTTTAGGGCCTCAGGTCTGGCAGAGTTAAGACAACCCTGCTCAGCACGTCTAGTCCTTCTGTCAGAGAATTCCTAGTGTAATATTCGACTCTTACAATACTCAAAAAAAGTTTTTTTTTTTAAATTTCTTAGCACGATACACCACATCCAGAATGCTGTCCACCTCCACAAGTTGACAGATTGACTACATCCTTGGGTGGTTAAATTGTAGAGCTCCTACTGTATACAAGTTGACAGATTGACTACATCCTTGGGAGGTCAAATTGTAGAGCTCCTACAGTATACAAGTTGACAGATTGACTACATCCTTGGGTGGTCAAATTGTAGAGCTCCTACAGTATACAAGTTGACAGATTGACTACATCCTTGGGTGGTTAAATTGTAGAGCTCCTACTGTATACAAGTTGACAGATTGACTACATCCTTGGGAGGTCAAATTGTAGAGCTCCTACTGTATACAAGTTGACAGATTGACTACATCCTTGGGAGGTCAAATTGTAGAGCTCCTACTGTATACAAGTTGACAGATTGACTACATCCTTGGGAGGTCAAATTGTAGAGCTCCTTCTGTATACAAGTTGACAGATTGACTACATCCTTGGGAGGTCAAATTGTAGAGCTCCTACTGTATACAAGTTGACAGATTGACTACATCCTTGGGAGGTCAAATTGTAGAGCTCCTACTGTATACAAGTTGACAGATTGACTACATCCTTGGGAGGTCAAATTGTAGAGCTCCTACTGTATACAAGTTGACAGATTGACTACATCCTTGGGTGGTCAAATTGTAGAGCTCCTACAGTATACAAGTTGACAGATTGACTACATCCTTGGGTGGTTAAATTGTAGAGCTCCTACTGTATACAAGTTGACAGATTGACTACATCCTTGGGAGGTCAAATTGTAGAGCTCCTACAGTATACAAG